TTCTGCTTCTCAAATCGGCCACTAGTGTCGGGCGGTCGATCTGGTTGCAATTATTTGTCGGAATCAGCTCCTCCAAAATAGCATACTTGTTGGTAAAAAGGAAAAATGCTAAGAAAATATTAAAAAAAGCTTTATCATGCTGACAAAGAGTGGTAAGTACAAAATGTATGATAGGCCTTTCAGGAAAAAAGAGAAGAGCGACTGAACGGCACCGCCTATTGAAGATTCGTTGTTATTTTTGATCACACGCCGCAAGACGGCGCAGCATGACAGGAAAGACCGCGAAGCGCGCGACTGCGCCTTCGCGCGCCGTGCCAAAAAGTTTCTTTTTCTTTTTTCTTTTTTCTTTTTTTTTTTGCGTGTTTTGGTTACCGTTTTTGGGTAGCTGGGTAGCTCAGTCGTCAAAGAACTTCGCTCACAATCTCGTGGTACTGAGTTCAAATCGAAAACATACGGTTCCCTCTTATGGAAGTAGCGCTCTTCCGTGTCGGTTTTTCTTTACAGCCGGCTGTTACATCCAAACGTTACAGAACTCCATTGAAATGGGCCGATAAAGCATATTCTGTGTTAAAATGTGGCTGCTGGGTTTTCTTCGCGCGACCCATGTACATACCCCGCGCTATTGCTTCTCCGCAGTGCACACGTTTAAGAGGTGAAGCATGCTTGGCGGGCGCAGCCGAGACCCTCGGGGCGCACACTGCATCAGTCCGTATTTTGTTCCTGTCGGGGCGCCATCCACACCAGCCAGCCAAACAAACAGACAAACAAACAAACACTGCTCGAAGACACCACAAAAACACTTCGTCACTAACCTTGTTGGACGCGCGACAAGCTGTCCACGAAACAAGTTTACCGACAGTGGGTTCCGTGGAAGATTGCTTGGAGTCTCTGAGGAAGGCGATCTTTTTTCTTGTCCGCGAACAAAACGTCGGTGCGTGTTCGCATGGTGGGGCGTGCTCTTGCCCACAAGCGACTATATATATATATATTTTTTTAATGTAACTAGCTTTTTTGTAAGTAAAAAAAGCAGGCACTTGTCGACGTTTGCGGTGTATGAGAATTTTTACACCGACAGCTGTTGCTGGGAACTTTACCGGGGAATGGCGTGATCGTTCTTCGCGAAAACACCCGGTGCTTCGAGCATGCACGCGCAGCCAGAGCACTCGTCGAAAAGAATCGAGCGCGTACTGGATGACAGACGTTCGAAAAAAAAAATAACGTGCGCGTGAGGCAGATTATGGCGTTCAAAAGAGTTGTCCTGCCGCTCCCACTTTCACAGTTTCTGTAGCAGCCGACACCCCATTGTGCGGGCGCGTGCCCACGGTCATCGAGCAGATTTGCAAGTACCCTATGGCTATAAAGGGGTATCCACACGAAGAAGAAATCCGCCCCTTTCCTCCGCGGAGCGCGCATCACGTGAGACATACGTCATCCCTTTTTGACGCCTCGCTGGCCTCGCGCCGCCATTCTCCTCCGTGGCGGAGGCGCGGAGCCTTCGTACTCTTAATAGCCGATTCACACGACGGACCAAATCGCGATTTTCGTCCGCGGACCGTGTACCACGTGACCGGCACGTCACCGATTCCTGCGATCCGCGCCTCCTCCGCGGAGGCGCGGACTGATAAAGTCGAGCGCCTTTTTCACTCGCGGACGTTTGGCGGCAGACTGACTTGGAAAGCATTTAGTCTGGCAACGGTACATTGTTTTCTTTGTATTTTGCTTCTGTGGTTGCCGTTAGAAGTTAAATATAATGGAGTTACGCTCAATTGACTAAAAAGATCCCAAGCCATAGTAGAACGCTTTCATAAATTAGTATAGAGGAGGTTGCGTCGTTGCGTCGTTGCGTTTTGTGCGTTTGTTGGTTCATTTTGTCGTACGGTTCTTGGTTCCACGCGTGAGAGAAACTCCAAAAACTTTGTCCGGCTGACGCGACGCAGGTTCCGGTGCTCCTCCGGGTCCGTGTCAAGAAGCTCCCGTCAAAACTCGTCTAGCACGCCGCGATAATTCTTGCACGTCCAATCAGGATTTCACCGAGCGAGCCCTCTCTTGTGGATGTGGTGTGCTTGAGTGTTGTGCACGAGCGCGGAGTGTGTGAAGGCATCTCCAAACGCCCCTCCGCGAGCCGAGAAGTTCGTCGCGTCTACGCCGAAGCTTTCTCGGGCAGGATCATGCCTGTGTCACTGTCATGCTTTGGGTTAGTAAAGTTAGTGGCGCTTCGCGCGAAGCCTGTCCCGGTGTTTTGTTCTCGATCTGTACGTAGCAGCGGCGTACGATTCTTTATCGCGGTAGCAACCGTCGATTTCTCTCTTGGACAACGGTGCTACTGTGCGATGTGGGAGTTTCGCGGCACTGTGGGGTGCGAACAGGTTCGGTCCGTCCTCACTGGCGTCTGCTCGTCGTCTCCCTCGTGTGGATGCGCTTGCGAGACGGACGAACCGCGGATATGTCGTCACGTGATCAATCCGTCCGCGGATCAGTCCGTCGTGTGAATCGGCTATAAAGGGGTATCCACACGAAGGAGAAATCCGCTCCTTTCCTCCGCGGAGCGCGCATCACGTGAAACATACGTCATCCCTTTCTGACGCCTCGCGGCGCGTTCTCCTCCGTGGCGGAGGCGCGGAGGCTTCGCGCTGTCAGCACGAAAGCTCCGCAGGTGCACGCGGCGGAGCCGGGGACGGAGTTTCCCGGGTTGTTGACGTCATGACATCCGTCCGCGGAGTTCTCCTTCGTGTGGATACCCCTTAAGGGGTATCCACACGAGGGAGAACTCCGTGGACGGATCTCGTGACGTCAACAACCCGGGAAACTCCGTCCCCGGCTCCGCCGCGCGCACTTGCGGAGTTCTCATGCCAAGAGTACGAAGCCTCCGCGCCTCCGCCACGGAGGAGAACGAGAGAACGGCGCCACGAGGCGTCAAAAAGGGATGACGTATGTCTCACGTGATGCGCGCTCCGCGGAGGAAAGGAGCGGATTTCTCCTTCGTGTGGATACCCCTTTAGCATGAGAACTCCGCAAGTGCGCGCGGCGGAGCCGGGGACGGAGTTTCCCGGGTTGCTGACGTCACAACATCCGTCCGCGGAGTTCTCCTAGAACTCCGCAAGTGCGCGCGGCGGAGCCGGGGACGGAGTTTCCCGGGTTGCTGACGTCACAACATCCGTCCGCGGAGTTCTCCTTCGTGTGGATACCCCTTAAAGGGGTATCCACACGAAGGAGAACTCCGCGGACGGATGTCGTGACGTCAACATCCCGGGAAACTCCGTCCCCGGCTCCGCCGCGTGCACCTGCAGAGCGTTCGTGCTGTCAGCACAAAGCCTCCGCGCCTCCGCCACGGAGGAGAACGCGCCGCGAGGCGTCAAAAAGGGATGACGTATGTCTCACGTGATGCGCGATCCGCGGAGGAAAGTGGCGGATTTCTCCTTCGTGTGGATACCCCTTAAGGAGCAGTCACTGGGCACCATATTTCTGGGTGCTGTTTAGAGCGCATGCTCAGAACAAGCCCACATTAACAGGCTGTTAAGACCGTCAATCTTGCGGGTGCGGAATGCACGCTCCAAGAGGACTGCGGAAGCTCGCCGTGAGCACGCGCTCAGCAGCAGCGCACACGGATATGGCCGCCAGTGAATACTCTCTATAGACGCTTTGCAGCAGCTGTGCATGGGCGCCGCCATAACTGACCTTCAGTTTTTGTTTTCTGTTATTGAATTTTCTTCACTTTATCATTGCCATAGCAGGCCAGATTATGGCCATCTTAAGTTCTATTGCGTCCTTCTACCCAGCATTGGCCTTTCTGGAAGCTCGTCAACACCCGTTTCAGTGGCTCGGTATCTCCATAAGACAAAAGAAGGTCAGCAATGGCGGCTGTAATCTGGCGCATGTGTAAAGCGTCTATAGGGAGTATTCACTGGACGCCATATTTGTGGGAGCTGTTTAGAGCGCATGCTCAGAACGAGCTCACATCAATAGGCTGCCAAGACCGGCACTCTTGATGGTGCGGAATGCACGTTGCAAAAGAACTGTGGAAGCTCGTCGTCAGCACGCGCTCAGCATTCGCGCACACAGCTATGGCCGCCAGGGAATACTCCCTATAGAGCTCGGAAAGTTTGTACACTGGTCCGAAGAACGCGACTTTCATTTGCGGCAGAAGGACTCCCAGTAACGACAACGACGCAAATAATTGCGTTGTGTGTAAGCTTATTAAGTGGCGGCTCTAGATGATAGTCGGTGCAGTACAGACCGCTAGCCTGGGGTTTTTAAGGTGCACCACCCAGTAATGATACATGACCGCACGCGGGTACGATGCCCATCCAGATCGAAACGGGCAGGGATGGGGATGGGACCCAGGATCCCTGGGTTATGCAGCGCGAGCTTTCGCTCCATGTGCTCCGAGCTGATGTGCGCTAGCTCACTCGGCCACCGATCTCCCGACCACGACGCCACAATGATAGTAGATTATACGTAAAGGCCGAGCTGCTGCCGCTGTAATACACGTGGCGCAATAGCGTAAAGGCACTTTTTTTTTTTTTTTTTTTTGCGGGCTACACATTAGGGGCGAACCTATCTCAAGTAACTTTTATTTTTCAACCGAAATTATTTGTTTCTGCGGAAGTATTAGCGCCAAGATGTTTCGGTGGCGACCTCTTCTGGTTTCCGTTCGTGACGTCACTACCAGAGTTTGCCTCGCCATGTCGCCATGAGTTGTAATCTTGACTACTTATTATCAGTTTCGAACTAAAATTTCGATTATATGTCTAAAAATAACACTGGAAAGGTTGGAGTCCTCGCATTCTTAAACCAACATCGTCACGGTTGGCACTTTGCGCTGATTTCCGTCCATGAAAAAAAAAAAAATTAAAATAAAGACGTCACAGTGAGCGTTTGGTCAGCAACAGTATGGGTCGAGCAAGTCGCTAATATACCGGGTGGAAACTATATAGTCAGAAATATACGGTATTTAGAGTATAACACTTTTTTTGTTTTCTTCCCGTCGTTTTCAGGGACAGCGTCATGAGGACATTCTTTCTGTTGTGCCTGGTGGGCGCGTCGCTGGCGGCGTCCCCGACGTCCTCGTCGTCTTCGTCTTCGTCGGTGTCCTCCTCGTCGTCGGTGTCTTCGTCGAACGGAGCCCCGTCGACCAAGCGGGACGACTTCAGCGTGGCCGCCTCGGCGAGCCATCCGGTCTATTCGCCGTCCGCTTCGTCGGGCGCCGCGGGCTACTCCGGCTCGTCCGGGTACGGAGCCTCGGGCTCCGGCTACTCAGGCACGGGATCCGCAGGGTAACCTTATTTTTACTTCCTGTCGTTCGACAAAGAATATACACTCTACCACGGTCCTTAAATCAACTACAAAACGCCCCTAAAATTTCACGAAAGCAATGTACAGCAGAAGGGTGTGTACTTGGGCTAGTTGGTTATTCATGAATAGGAGGTAAAAGCGCTAAAAAACGACGGACAAGTTGAAGAATGACGAACACCACAGAGCGCTATGGTGTTCGTCATTCTTCAACTTGTCCGTCGTTTTTTAGCGCTTTTACCTCCTATTCAATGTACAGCAGCGAGATTTAAACAATAAAAAAATCGTTCAGCCTTTCCACTCTCGTGAAGAAGGAAGACCAGCAGAGCTGTACTCGATACCAACTGTGTGCTTCTTCTTCGTCGTTGTCTGTTTTTCGCGCTGTTTCCTACGATGAATTCCCACCAACGCGCCCAACTATCCATTCTTCTATTATAGCTGGAAATGTTACCGCCATCTACGAGCGACGGCGGAAACCATACTGGTTGTGTGCTTGCCGCCGTCGCTTATAGATGGCGGTAGCTGTCCAGGCAGGTTTGTGTCGACATACCGGACACGATCCTGGGGAACTTGGCCCTTAACAGCTCCGCTGTAAAAGGAAAAACCAAATACGATGTTGTTGTTTTTTTGTTTTTTTTTTTTTTTAATTAGATGCCAAAGGTTCAGCGCTAGCTATGATCTTATTAAAAAGTTATGTTATTTTCTTAAACTTTTAATAAAAAATGGAGCCTATTTTTGCCCATTTTTTGTAACTGGCGCCCACCATGCTGATGCCATAGAGCTCCATGTATTTAAGAGCTGTGTCGGCCGCCATTTTTTTTTTTTTTTCATTGAAAATCTAAAACAAAAAACTCACATAACTTTCGAATAAAATAACGGCTAGTGCTGCAACTTTAGTGTCTACTTCGGACCGCTAACGCTATATTTGGGCAGAGAATAGGGAGTTTTTTGTTTTTTTTTTTAGATCGCTTTCGCTGTCCCGCAACGTTCTCCGCAACCCACTACGAGATCCAGGACTCTGCAGGCGAGGCTAGCATCGCGCATGCGCAATAGTGGCGTCTTCGTTCCCGAGAGCGTACCGGAGTTGCAAAAACGGTCTACGAAAAATTCCTAATGAGCACTGTGTGATGCATAGTTTATTTTTGCGTACAAAAAAAAATTTTTAATTCTTTTGAAAGCAAACTACACATTGCCGAACGCTCAGTCTTCTTCCAAAGTAATACGCTAGCGGTCCGGACCAATGCCAACGGTTGCAGTGCTTCCCGTTACCTAAGTCAAAAGTTATTTAGTTTTAACGAAAGATGTCTTCTTGCGAAGCCCACGAATAGGTGAAGACTAATGACGTCAGCTATACCGCGGGAACGGGCCAGATTTTCCCATTCAAAGCTACAGAAAATAATTTTTGAATAAGATAACGATTAGTCTTGAAATTTCGGCATCTGGTTTTGGCCGTTAGTGCTCCATATGGGCGGAGACTAAGTATTCGGCGATGCGTGATTTTTTTTTTTTTATGACACCTTGTACTTCTAACAAATAATTATGAACACGCCAAAATCTTTAACAATGTAGTTCAGTTACGAACTGCCCGTTTTGGCTTCGAAGTCCGACCGCAATCGGATCTGATAAAACCAATCAAACGGCGCCAAAAAAAAAAAAGTGCACCGTCACCGCGCTCCTTGTTTTCTGTGGCTTTGCAATGACCTGCTAAATCAATCGCGCCCCAATTAATGCGCCGTGAACCTGCGTCTTTTTTGTTGCGCGTGATTGATTTAGCCGCCGATCGGATTGTAGCATCGGCTACGCGGTCAAACTTAAATGTGAAACGGAGTCTACCGGTAGTTCTTCGCAGTATATGGAGCGAAATTCCATGCTTTGATGCGGTTGAACGACTGCACAATTTGGCCAGACAACTGGTTCGCTTCGAATGACCGATATTAAGGCGGAAGTATTTGAACCGCATTAAAATGCGTTTCGTTTCTACAATCTCGAAATTTATTGAGAAATCACGTTCTTGTTTCGATGCTTGGGAGTATACAACCGTCACGCCACCCTTTCTGATTATCTCCATGACTCGCCCGTTTTATTACACGACACAGTCTGTGATGGGTAGCCAGACATGGGTGGTTAGTCATGCAGTCCCTCTATTACATACTTTCAGAAGTATACATTCCAGACAGCTCCGTAAATAATTTTATTTAAAAAGTAGCAGATGCGCCTTCGTTCCTTCACCTGAAACGGCTGGCTGAGAAGTTAGCTCTTCCTCTGAACACTAATGCATGCGGTAAAGCTAGCTTGCCGTTGCCCACGATGCCTCACAATATGGAGACGTCAAACACAAGATCCATTCGAGCGAAGATTGTTTGTTTATAATAATCATTTAATGCATTTCGTTACTTACAACACAAATCATTTGCATTATCGTTTCATGACGTCTTTCTCTTTTAGAATGTGTTATAACACTAGTGACAATCACAGATTTGATGTGCCATTCACGCCAAACTAAAAAATAATAAAAAAAAAAGTATGAAGGACGCTTTTAGTTTTTCCAATCGGAAACCAAAATATTTGGTTCACTTATATTGCCCAATGTCCACAAATAACCCTCCGGTTTGCCACTTTCCCTGTAACGCCTTACTCGGTTCCCGCAGGTACGGTTCCTCGGGCTCGAGCGGAGGCTACGAAGCCGCAGCCTCCAGCACAAGCTACCAGAGCCAGGCGAGCCCCAACAGCAACCTCTACTATTACTACTACCCTGTCTCCAAGAACAACCCGCAGTCCGGCGGCGGCGGAGCCGGCAGCTCCGGTGGCTCCGACGCCGACTACCAAGCAAGCGCCGCCCAGAACTACGCCGGCGTGTCCTCGCCAGGCGGAAGCTACGACCAGAGCGGCGGCGGCGGATCCTCGTCCTCCGGCTACGGCACCGGTGAGGGCAGTTCCGGCTCGGGCTACGACGGCGACTCCAACGCCGCGGCCGCCTACAACGCAGCTGCTGCGGCCAGCTACCAGCAGCAGCTCCACGCTTACGCTGCTGGACAGGGCGGAGGCTCCAGCTACGGTCCAGGACAGTACGCTCACCTCAGCCAGCTGGCCCAGCAGTACGGACCCCAGCTCGCGGCTGCGCAGCAGTATGCGCAGTACGCTCAATCTGGAGGCGCCGGCCATCACTACGGTGGCGGCGGAGGCGGTGGCGGTGGACCTTACGCGTCGCCAGCGTTCCAGGGGAACTACGACACGTCGAAGCGGTACTACGGTCTTGGTTCCATGATCATGCCGTTGTTGGCCCTCGCGGGTCTCGGCCTGCTCATCCCGACGGTGACCAGCCTGAGTGGAAAGAAGAAGAGGTCCGTGGACGACGACCGGAGGGCTCACTTGGGGGACTACGCCGAGCGGCTGGAGAGGTACTTCAAGATCTACAGAGCGGCCGTGGAGAGCGAGGAGTGCATGAACAGGATCATCTGCGAGCTGGGCGACGCCATGAGCGGGGTCCGCGGGAAATCGGCATTGCTCACGTGAGTTGTCTGTCTTTTTTCTTGGGGTATGTCTACCACCTCGATCAAGTTGGGTCTTCAACTGGGACCAGTCGAAACCAATCTAGACCTGTTACAAAAAAAGTATGTTTAGTACGTTGTACTTACTTCAAGTGGGCTAAGAAAACTTCTGCGTTACTTGAAGTCCGTTCTCTGGGTGTGTACTCAGGGGCGGATTTAGAGGGGGGGGGGGGGGGGTCCCGATGTCCTGACCCCCCTCTTGATTTCTGCATGTGTAAAATTTGGGGCGTAAAACGAAGGAGAGGGAAGGGGTTTCTAATAGGGGTGCGGGAATAGTGGTTCGAATCGAATAGCGCAGTGTCATCCCTAGCATCAACAGCGCAAAGAGAGCCAGTTGCATCGGCTTTCCTTTGTACCACAAAGGCCATGAATGACGTCGTGCTATTCGATTCGAATCGCTATTCGCACACCCCTAGTTTCTAAGCATATGGTACGCTGACCAACACCTGACCCCTCCCTCAGGAAATTCCTGCATCGGCTCCTGTGTGTACTTGTACTTTACTCAAAAGCACTTCTTTTCCAGTACTTTCCAAAGATAGTACAACTCCCGACATTGCCCAAATTTGGTCTTGTTAAATTTGTATCACAAAATTATGATTTGTCAACAAATAAGCGCGTTATAAGTTGATTGTGTTCAGTAGTATGTCAGTGAGAGTAAAACAACAACTCTGTAGCCATTTGACTTGATCCAATATTCGCCGCCATTCCTGAAAATAACTGGTGCACCCCCGACTACCCCTGGGGAAATGCATTCCCTGTTAGGATAAATAAAGAAAAACACCGTATATGGGTGTGAAAGGGCATCATGAAAAATTGTGTTAAAATGTACTTGTACTTTACTTTGAAAGTATATTGTATTTGTAGTAATTCAAGTGCATTGCGCCTGGTGTATTTACAGTTGAAGTACATAACCTCTCACTTACTTTGTACTTCAAGTACTTTTTATGTGTAATTTACTCAACACTGTGCAAAACGTAAAGCGCCGTCCGCGGAACCAAACGGAATGCCGGGAACGCTCTGTACAGAACCGGTTGTAGAAGACGGTAGGGGCGATGGAGGAAACGCGGGCGAACGGGCGAGGACAGATGTTTAACTACGCTACCTTCTCTCGCTTTCTCTCGCTCCTTTCAGTGTCACGTGATAGATCAATGGTGTATTTGGTAGACGCAGCGGGAACAACGAGGAGCTTACAGAATTTCGCTCGCCGCCTTCGGGGATTTTCGCAAAGGATTCATTTGGCCCAGTTGAAGGCAGTTGCATCATGCGAGAACCGCTGTCCTGCATTTTATAGCAACTGTGCGTACCATTCTCGCTCGCTGCTCAGAGCTCCCCGAAGCGCGCCATGCAGTGGTACGGCATTTTATTTACATAAGTTAGGTACAAGAGACGAGCGTCCGTACTTCAAACTGCTAGTCTTTTGCAACGTAAAAACTGCGTGACAAACCCCGCCCATCAAAAAAGAAAGGACGCCTGATTAATGCGCTGACTGATGCTCCATCCGTTCCGTGATGTCAGAAAAATGGCCCGCCCGTACTGGACGGCGTAGTGACGCCATTGTTTTAAAATTGGAAATTGTTTCTTGCAAAACCCGTGCTCCTAGCTTTTATACACAATAAACAACGCACTATACCAGTCTTCGGTAAGCTAATATTTCAGGGTACTACAGGTCATGAGCACGTTAGGGTGAGGGGGGGGGGGGGGGGGGTGAGTTTGGAAGTTTCGCTAAGAGTAGGAAGTATTCTCATACAAATTTACTTTTAAGGAAACATTTATGCGAGTTTGCTTTGGCGCGGTTGCAGGCAGTATCTTGTAGTTACCCCTGTTGAATTAGTAATTTTTATTATATTGGGGACATATGGTAGGAAGCTATGGTGACATTCCGGAGTTTAGGACCATGGCATGTTTCTCGACTGCCCTATTATTTTAGGATGCATGTAATAAATGTGCATGTTGCACTGTGCAGTTAATATTTGAGGATGTAGCTTACATATTGTAACTGCCTCGTTTTTTATTGTATATAGTAAATCTGTGTTACTCACTGGACAGTAAGTGATACGTGCAGGAAATGGCTTACCAAGGCTCAGGATAGGCACTACCCTAAGCCGGTCCATGGCATTGAAAACGTCCATCGCCTAGGGAAAACTACTATGTTTATGATGTTGATAGTGAACACATTGGTAGGCCTTGAAGTTTATGAATCCGTTGTAAAAGCAGCTGATGTAACAACGTGTGTTTTCTTTCGTGTTTCTGTTCTTCCGGGTTTTAGCCCGTCCGGTTTTTATTTTTAGTTTTAATGAACGGGACATGCTTACAGCAGATATGGGGCCGCGCTGGTGTTTGATTTTATAGAAGTATACAAGAAACCTCTTCTAGACGTCTTGGCTAACCCAAGACGTTAAACGTGTCGTAAATATGTCTTTTAGACGTCTCATGGAGATATCTTCTAGATGTATACTTCGAGATGTCTTGTAGACGTCTCTGGAAGGTGTCTTGCAGACGTCTCGCGCAGCCCAGTTGGTGTATAGCCCATTATGTAACTGTTTCAAGACGTCTTGTACTCAGTGGGAACATTTCTTGTGCAAAACGTTGATCTCGGTATGCGATGCGTGTGTGTAAACATTAATGATGCCAAGAAAAGAACGAGACGTGTGCCATGGGCCAACATGTCCTAATGCTTCGTCCTTTCTCTGACGACAGCTCTTTCTCTCTGTCGAACAGGGTCATGGAGAAGTTTGCTCCCGGATGGATGACCAACAAGATGGGGGTCTTCAAGTCCGCTGCCCTCACCGCAGAGACCAGCAAATGCGTCCGGTACAAGTGTTGACGGCCGCAACCTAGAACGAAAGCAGACAGACGACCCCGCACCAGGCGATTGCTCCCCACCATCCTAGACTGCACACTAAGGACCTACCTGTGGGATGTAGTCCTCAGGCCTAACCGGGCGCAATCATTACTTTTATGAGACAGCAGGATCTGTCACAGATGCCCCCTGGAACAAATGAACTGAAGGATGTTGTAGTCTGGTTAATTGAGCCGTCATGACGATGATGGCAACCTCACGTTTGATGAGTGCCACATTCTAAATCAGTTTTGTCCTGGTACAGAAGCCATTGGCATCAGGGTCAAATCTCGATAGGTCACTCTGCAGAACCGTGCCAGGTGGCCAAGCCTACCTTGGGGCGGTCCTCCGTGCGACTAGGTATGCCAGGTTAGCTTCTTTTTTTTTTTATATATAGCATTAGTCGCCATAGTTAATTTGAAAATCCCCTAACTTTGGCCAAGTCCACCCTTCAGTGTCGTCGACTAACCGAAACACATGCCCCCATTGTTCATTCATAATGCGGTACACCATTTCCATCATTGTCAGCTCCAAGTCTCTAGTAGTCCTAACAGTTACGACTATCATCACATCAGCAGCTCTTTCTCTCCCCAGCCCATCCATTGTAAGTTTATTAATGCCTTTCCTTAAGACTTTTCTCAAGCGCTCCCTAAGGCACTTCCGAGGACCTTTCCGCTTGTTCCAGAGCCACAAACGACATTTTTCCATGCGCAGAAAGCTTTCCCTTCTAGGCAAGGAACTTGGCAATAACGTACATAAATGGCCATAGCAGATTAAACTAAAACCCAATGTTTTTCAGTCGCTTAGAAAGGCTCGTGGCAGCGGATAAATTCCGAGGCGGTGCGAAAATGTTTTGGCATCTCGCTTCGACGTTACTTTGTCCTCAGCACATCATGGTCAGCGTTTTTGTCGTTGTGTTAGGTCTTGGGTTTAGGCTCTTTTCACAAAACAAGCCGCATAGACGGCACCGGAACTTTCCTTCGATAAAATACGGTCAAACTACAAGCGGGCTTTGGTTTCCAATGCCACCGCCCCCCACCTCTTACAATTTCCTCACGGGCATTTCATATTATGGTAAGCTCATTACTTAGGGTGTATTTATTTATTCACGTGACTTAGCTTTTTTTTTTTTCGTCCACATCTCCAAAATACAAATGACACGGGGAGATGCGCAATAAAAAAAGAAATGAACAAACAAACAAGTGGAAATATGTGAATGCATCTTCTTACTTCATAGAATGCCCCACCAACCACACTGACTCTTTTTTTTTTTTTTGATCCTATATGTGTGTATACTATACAATGTGTTTTCTATACCTTTTTGCCAATGTAAGAGTTACTGGAGAACTCAACAAGTGTTTGGTATCCGAACTTGTCTTCTATTTTCTTCTTCGTGTTTTGTTCTTACACAAAGTGACCTCTACGGAGAACTTCGAGATAGTTGCTTTTTCTTGTCCGGAATTCGCCTTCAAGTTTGGCAGCATGTTGCAGTAGTTACGACACGGATGCCGACACTTCAACACCGAGAGCCTTTGCAAAGGCCTACTCCATTTTTTTTTTCTCTGGAACTTCAGGTACGGTTCGTAGAACAAAGTCAATAAATACTTTTTATCAAAAAAGAAAACGAAATTGTACAGGTATTTACAAATGCTTCTTCTTGTAGTTTGTATTACTTGTGGCATAACAAAGGTAGTAGTAGTGGTAGTAGCAGTATTCATAGCAGTAACGTCATTCAAACTGCAAGCCGAAAATTTCCTCTCTTTTAACTGTACAACGGCAAGTCTCGAGCAGTAGCTCCATCATGCCCGTTTATAGTAACGTGGATTACACTAGCCCTTGTGCTTCAGAAACTACAATATGGCTGCTGACTGAAAGTGGAATAGCATATTTCAAAACTTCGAAAAGACTTTCTTTCTTTCTTTGAGCCTCAGTGTTTGCAACAACTTTGTAAAAAAGGGAAGACAAAACAAAAAGACCTCTGCTGCAGGATGATACAAATGACTTGTCCTGCTACTGACATGAGGTTGTGAGGCGGCCACCTTACAAGTACCAAAATCGCGACGCGTTTTGGATCTAGTAGTAATAGTAGTAGTCTAGTGCAGTGACCCGAACGAGAGGTCACTGGGCTGTCATTGGCCACATTTTAAAGACGCACGATAAGGCGACGAATCAGATTCGCCCTACCTTTGCCATCGGCACACGATTGGTCACACTTCGGTGGCACATAGAGGGGCGTACAACCAATCGGACTAGTCGTGCATTTCAGGCAGCCATATTGTAGCAGACTGACTCTAAACAACGGCGCAACAGAGGCACCAGAACGCAAGACTCAAACCCCGAGGTGCTAGTGCAGTTGGCAAGCGCGCACCATTACGAGCATCAGGAGTATAAAAAGGGGGGTGAAGACTTCGGAATAGACGAGATGGCGCTGTCCTTCCAGCTTGAGGCAGAGCAGCAGTTTGAAGAGGAACATGAGCAAAAGCTGGACGAAACTCCAGAGCGCACGGAACGCGCCCGCCTTGTACACGCCTTCGATGTACTGGCGGATGAAGACGATCACGCAGAAGTAGGCGTTGAGGCCGTCGCAGATAAAGAGCGACACGAACACCGTCCACCACGAGATGTCCAGGGCGCTGTCGAGCTTCAGCACCACCATCAGCGAGAACAGCATCACGGAAATCAGGTGCACGAACATCTCGAAGACTGTCATGCCCAGCCATCGGGCCAGTTCTTTGAGGGTGAACATAGTCGGACGGTCCGAGGTCTCAGGACGGCTCGGCGCGGATCTCCTGGTCCCAGTTCATGGTGGGGCGAGCGGCGACCCTCAAGAACGTAGTAGAGGTTGCCTGTCCACGTGAACATCGAGGATAAGCCCGTAGACCTGCCGAAACTCGGCAGCCAGGCACATCTTCCGCAGCTTCTCGAGAGTTTTTTGCATTTTATTGTTTTTTTAGGGAGGAAGTTGCACAGTGTTGCCGATTTTGCGTCGCGGTTGTGCCAGAATTGGTGTTGCGACGACGAAACCAGCTGAAAAGGATGACGAGGGTTCCCAACGTAGATTTCGGTCATTTAGGCGATTCAGAGCGCATTCTTGCGCGTAACTATTTTATTGCGTTAATTATGTAATTTTTTTAATTTTTTTTAGCCGACTGAATGAGTAGTTTGAGGATAGAAGCGATTCCGGAGCGCTGCCAAAACCGAAAAACATTTTACGTCTGCAAGCGAGTCCGACGAGGTGGCGTGTGGCGTGTTTCGTTTCATTTTTCTTTTTTCTCTCTATTTTGTTGTTTACTGACGGCGGCATGGCTGCGGTTTTCTTTCGCACGGTTCCGAAAAATATTCTGGTGGTTGGGGCCCGTCAGTTACGACACCACTATGCTCTTCGAATGGTAAGTTTGGTTACGTTCGTCTGCATAAATCAAAAGTGACAAAAGAATGAAACTACCCAAGACATTCGTGGCCAAGGTTGTGGTATGAATGAGCTGTGCAGACATACCGTCTGTCTGCGTGCCTTATCGGAATAACAATCTAATCGGTCTTTCCCCTTCGTCGTGCACCTTTAATGTGGAAAATAATGAACAGATTTGACCAGCCACCTCTCCCAAGGTAGCCATCAGTAGTTTTTGCGTTTTGAACATAGCGTCTAATGGGCAATTGTGCTCCATTAATATGATGTTGCCATCGTAATAATTAAGATGTCGAAAGTTTTAGTCGTGTTTAAGTTGAGCCTATCTGTCAGGCTTGGAATTATGTCAGTTGTCGTTGGGGTTTGCTGACTGACTGTTTGTAGTTTGGAATCAATATCGAATTTTCTTACTGCCTGTTACACTGCTCACAAGTTAATCAAATGAGCTAACTATAACGCACCTGCCAAAGTAGTGTCCCATAATGCTCAGTAATTACAGCAAAAATACTTCATGTGATGTGGAACAACATGTGGCTCGCAAAACTTGTTTTTTTAAGCATGCAACAAAATTTTAGAAAAACTAGCAGCAGACCGACGACTGAGCTTTAAATTGCTTCCACATGGTAAATTAGTCTTGTAGCTATAATTTAGGCTGAAGTTCGCTTAAATCCTAAGATTTACGTGTACAGAGCAAATCTTCTAAAACCAACACATACGTGTACTTGGAGCTCAGGTGACGTCTGCACTGGCATATATTTTGCTACCAGACGCTGCCCGAGGTATTTGGTTTTTCGACAGCATGCTGCTGCTTAGCTTGTGCTAATAAAATTGATGACACAAATGCTGTTCTCTAGCCGTTAGACAAAAGCAAACTTTTTTTCGAAAACGATGGCGAAGGGCCAAGTCTCAAAGACTAAAGAGAAAGACGAAAATCTCCCGTCAACGCAAACACAGAAATCGGAAGCGCTTTTACAAAATGCTAGGCACCACATTATGATCTGTTGTAGGTTCAGAATAGCAGGGCATGCTCCTTTCTGAAAGCCCTCGGCTCGCCGTGATTGGTGGTCTCCTCCTCTCCACTTTCCCCTTCTCCAGCGTTTGCTCTGCAAAAGTGGAAAGAGTGGATGGCTTTGTGGAACGAACTGGTGGCATTCTTAACCTGAAACAGACTAATAAATGGATCAAACCTACCCTAGCAGACCGACAGGACAAAACTGCCGTGGGAACCGCTGGTTTGGGGTGATAACCAAGGGCGCTGTTACACCCGCAACCAACCAAGCAAAGACTAACTACAGACTCCTCCAAGCAATGACCACAACCTCCTCCGGTTTACCTCTGCAGTGTCTGGTCACCAATTTGAACCTATGCTAGGGTCACCTAAAGTCCCTCCATACTGAAAAGTATCACTAAGCTTTGATACAGCCGCCGCGCTCCGCGAGAGGGGTGGGTGGGGGGTTAGGTTTAGGGCATGTGACCACCTGCAATCGCTTTGTCGCTTTCACATCCACGATGGCACCAGCAGGCAGAACAGCCAGGCAGGGGAGCATGTATCGAGATAGACTGAATACCAAAGGACGGTTGATTAAAACTAGGAAGTGGCCCTTGCATGTTTCATAATTATTTACACTTGAAATGGGCAGAACAATAACTCTTCTAAAAATGTTTGGTAGGGACGGGATACCCATGAAAAATTTACATGAGAAAAACCGAGCATTCGTAGCAGGTTGGCTGGTACGGTTCGCATGAGCAGAGTAGAGGTTTTGTGAATATGTTTTGCAACCTCAAGCCCATTGGTGCCTACTTTCTAGGCAGAGCATGCTTCGAAAGAAAGAAGTGAAAAGAAAAAGGAAGGGTGGTTGTCACTATCTTTTTTAATAGGGGTCCTTGTGCTACAATGCCTTATTACTAGGCCTCCATGTTTTGGAGGTTTATTTTTCCTGGAGTTCTCGGGGGTTTTTTTTTGGGGGGTTTTGTTTTTCCCTCAGATTCCATGTTCAATTTCGGTGTCGGTCAAGAAGTAGGCAATTAACGGGACTTGCATTGAAGAGGGCAAGACGTCAACACATAGTCCCCCCCCCCCCAGGAGTCATTCGCTTCATCCAAGCCCTCAAAAGATGCCCCGGTATTGATCAGAGAAGGAAACAAAATAATGGGTGCCATACCCAAAGAAAGAAGCATCCTCGCCAGCAGTTCAGTTAGGGCTGCGTTTCAAATGGCGCAAAATAATGCTGTGGGCCATTAGTTGTTCTTTTGAAGCTCTGGATGGGATGGGATGGATAGATGGAAGAACGTTAATGGCTGTGCCCTTTATAACAAGTGGTACCTTGCGCCACCTAGCCTAGAAACCAAAAGTATTTTTCCTTCCCTCGCCCTCTTAAGCCAATTTGCTTTCACTCTGCTTTTTTGTAACTATCACCAGGCAGTGTGGCGTATCGCCAGGATGACCTTTGGGGGATCAGGCAAAAAAACAACATCTAGAAAACATCATCCCCCCCCTTCCACCTTGTCCGACTGGCGAGGGAGTCTCAAATTTTCCCCTGGTCGAACCTAGTTGGCGCTACTCCAAATCTGGGGCCCACAGGGAGACAGAGTTGAGACTTCGGGCTGGAGCCATGCGGGATGGAGTCCCAATTTTCCTCTGTCCCGCCTGTCCCCAGCTATGCTAGATAGTTTTACTTCATTCAATTTTCCCTAGATAATTTCCACCAATCTTGTGACGTCCTCTTTGTGACTGTAATCCTTTTCTCCTCCATTCTTCCATCCTCGCTAGCAAAACCCAGCACCCCCGCCAGATCCGTTACCCCTTAGGAAGGGCAGGGCGAAGCCCCGTGCACTTTAAAACAAAATGTTCTAGTCTCACTCTTATTTATTACACACGGCACGTAGGGAGTCTCTCTCTTGAAATTTAGCCCTATGCGCCTCTGTTCTTAACACTCCCGTTCTCGCCTTGAACAGCAAAGAACTTATAAAGAACTTGTTGACGCGTTCACCGCCACTCCCGAGTATATACTCGTTTTGTGTTTTAACAGCTCACTCCCTGCAACTCTTACACAACTTGTGTAAAAAAAAAAGTTTTTTTTAGATTGTATATGAAGAGGTCACCTAAATACATAGAACTTGTCGGTTATTTTTAAGCGACAAGTGGAGCGCATGGTCTTTCATCTGCTCCATCACTTCACTTCGGCGGCGCAGCCATGGCGCGTCGGCATGGCATGTGTGTCTGCTTTTTGACGGACAAAACAATTTATAAACTTTTGATTGATTCCGACGAAAGCGATAACAATACGTGGGACGTCGTAGACGCAATTGTCGATCAGACAAACCTTTTCGGTGCCGAGCACTCGCCGCATTTACGTTGACGGAAAGACGCGACTGCACGCAAATTCAACATACTTCTAAGTTTGCATAACGCCGACGGCGCATGCAGGGAAGAGCTTCATCGCCGAGTTACTAGCATAAAAGGACCACAAAACCAACATGCAAACAAAGAAAAAATAAAATAAAACGGCAAAGTGTGGAAAGCAGTTGGGGGGAAAAAAAAAAAAAGACAACAGCTAGCAAACGGAATAAAAGGAAGTTCTGATTAGGGTTCTCTCGATTTTCCCCTACGTGCATAAAACCGCTCGAGGATCACTTTTCGGAGTTTGTCGGCATGCCGACGGCATGAAACTGAAAATGTAGAACCCCACCATAGTTGCTGTCGTCTCAAGAAACGCACGGTGTGGCGTATCTTCAGCATCTTGCTACCGCTCCTCAGCCAATGAAGTTTCTGTATTTGTTGACGAATTTGTGGTGGAGCGATTTGCAAGGCAAGGAGCTTGAATGCAATGAGCCGCGCCCATCGCTCCGTAAAGGGTTACTGAACCGAAATTTCGAGCTCACAAAACAAGGGTGGACTGATAGGTGCGCCACTGCAGAACCTAAAAACACCACTCGTACTGCGATATCTCTAACGGATTACCATATTTTTGGAAAAGAAGTGCGTGATTGAACACAGCCGATGAGACAAGTCACGTCACAATTCTCATTCCCTCTTGTCCTCGCTTCGTCACATCAAGCTGGTGAACCGAAGCGAGAAGGCAAGGCCACTTCCCCTCATTTTCAACTGTTCCAGGAGGATTGTGACGTCGTATCCCTCGCTTGATTGCGCCGTTCTTTTACAAAAGTATGGCCATCCGTTTAAGATACCAATGGATGAGTGATGTTTTGGAGTTTGTAGCGTCCTGTTCAACGCTTCTGCGGCCTTATTTTGCGAAATCCAACTTTCGGTTCGGTGTCCCTTTAACCTGTTAGTGAATATAATTACCTTGGCTAGGAAGACTTCTAGACATTCCTTAGACCACACACGAACGCTCATTGTCGTCTTCCCTGTTCCAGCACGCTTGTAGGTGTCTACAAGTTGCACAGGCCAATAGCCGCGTTCTCGAACGTCACAATGTTGGTCTCGGTGCCGGCGACCGTCTCAAATCCAGGGCTTTCCACGTCGGCCAGCAGCTCCAAAAGGTGGTCTCGTTCAAGCTCTCCGACATTGGAGAGGGTATCAGCGAAGTTCTCGTCAAAGAATGGTGAGTGGCAACTCTCTTGCCAGCTTGAAAGGGCAGTTCGAAGCCGACTTCGAGGTTTTTACTTTACTGTGGTCTTAACATGCGCTGGGGCTATCGTGGGAAATGGTGACCAGCTGTGGTTCCACAAAGACGTTTTGACCGTGCAAATCAGTCGAAACGATCGGCGAGCCGGTGACAGATAATTGCTCGTCTTTAAAATCGATTGGAACGATTGGTGAGCCAATCAAGCCGGTTACACAGCCTTTGATTGCAGAAGTAAAAGAAGGCACACATGCTACGCATTTTCCTTCTGTGGTTGGCCACAATGGGTGCGCAACATTGTCGTCGTGTCGGCTCTCCGATTCTTTACTCGAGTTTAGGTTTGCGCCCACCGATCGAGCCGAAAAATTTTTTTCGGTCGAGATCGAAAAAAAGAAAAAAAAAGATAATGATTGGCATCATATTTGGATGTTGCTGTGAAAAGCTTGGCCAACGAATACGACTTTTGGATCGACCATGTAGGCTAAGAAAAGCAAGACGGGCTCCCCCCACGAAGTTCTCCGCTCTTTCAGCTTCAGCGGAGCAAACGCCGGAGAGGAAGAGACCACCGGGTCATGACGAACAGGATAGGCTTATCCTGCTTTTATTAAAAGGGTAGTGCAAGGATTTTAATGTTGAAAGAATTTGCAGTTCATATTTTTTATATTGTTTATCTAGGCACAAGTGACAAAAAAAATGTGTCCCCTTTCCCAGAAAACTACTATTCCACTGCATAATCGCAAATTCAACAAAACCTGGCCCCCTCTGCTGCTACGCTCGTCGTTAGCCTCGTGACAAATCGTCTTTTGTGTCGATCACTCGCCGCGACCTTCGATGACGCTAATCTTTGAAAAGTAGATAATCGCGGAGGAAGCGGCTGGGGTCTCTGAAGAGAGAACCCAACGGGAAACCAGGCGGTCCCCTAGAGTATGTCACTCAAAAGGTGACGCATCAGTTGAGTGGCACTTTGACCTTTGATTTGTTTCATATTTTTAAATAAAAACGAGTGCGCGGAAGAGATTACAACTGTAACAAGGTGTTGACCTGGGCGAGGTGGCAAAAGTTTGACATGGTGGGTGTAACAGCTTCAAAAAACGAGGACGATAAAAGCAACAGACTTGACAGGAAAACAGCTGTACTCGCAAATGAAAGGTTTTATTTGAAAAGGAAAAGAGAACACATACATCAGTACCAGATAACGCAGTATATAATCAAACAATACACCCTCCACGAGGCCTGTGTCATCAAAAAAGGTTCACTAGATGCAACCCATGCCAGTCATGGTCTGGCGCAAAAAGGACAGCTCCTTATCACATAAGGCGACCGAGGACTCACTCACGCATCTTTATCCGAGGCACGAAATATAAAAAGCCTCAATAATTTTGCGGGTGGCCCAGACACGTAGCGAGAAGGGGAAGGGGGGAAGCGGTGGCGGCAGCGGCAGCGGCGGCGGGCCCATGGCCCTCTTTCCCCCACCCAGAAATCTTCCATTTTGCTGGGACCTCCTCTCTCCCCTCCCCCTCATACAGCATTTTGTCATGGGCAGGCCCCCCCTCGAAACAAAATCCTGGTTACGTCCCAGGGGTGGCCCTCTCTCTATGTCACCCTTCAACCATCACCTTATCAAAGGCAGGCTGACACATGCACTCTCTGCAATGCAAAAGGAGGGGTCCCCGCATCGTGGCCCTCAGCGAGTAAGCATGCTCCCAGAACCTATCGTTAAGGCACCTCCCTGTCTGGCCTGTGTAGAATTTTCCACATGACAGGGGTATCTTGTACACCATACTCGAGACGCATGACACAAAAGGTTTTGCATGCCTTTTGGTACACTTTGCCGTCACCCGATAATCGGCTCTTGCGCCCACCTTTGCACAAATCTGGCTCATTTTTTGGGGGGGCCGAGAACACTACTGGGACTCCATACCGGCCTCCAACTTGTTTAAGGTTGTGGGAGACACGGTGAATGCAGGGTTCCACCATATTTCGCTTTTTATCTAATTCGGCCCTCACCCTCTCTATCCCTTTGGCCTCCTTCAGAAGGGCACTTGCGACCTCCGTTAAAAGCACTGACGGGAACCCCGACGCCCTGAGTCTCGTAACCTGCGCTAAGAAACTGTCGTTCATCATGTGAACACATGACTTCCCAAGAGCAGAGCCGAGACAGGAAACTGCTATGCCCCTCTTCACCTGCTTGGAGTGGGATGATCTGTAGTCCAAAATCGCCTTCCTTGACCACGGACTGAAGGACCAGCATGCCTGTGTGTCCTTGAGACACAGCGCCAGATCCAGAAACCGGAGAACCATTTGGATACCATATTTTTCAGTTCTTCAAACGTAAACCTAAGTCCCCCACCACACTCACCGAAAGCACGCAAGACATTAATTAGCCTGCGTCGCCTCTCCATCCACTTTGTCAAATACCATTAGAAAATTGTCCACATAGCGAAACACCTTTTTTACATTGGAATCTCTCAGAGCAACATCAATTGCACTGTCCACAACACTGAGGAAAATGTCACTGAGAATTGGTGCCACAGTCGAGCTGATGCACACTCCCGTGTTTTGTAAGAAAAACTTATTGCGCCAGCCTACCACCATCGAGCTAAAATCGAAGCCTAAAAGCTCGAGGAACCCTTCGAGGGTGACACCACTAGTATCTCTGAATGCCACCTCCCCGTTGAATTCAATGCAGGACCTCAGTGAGGAGAGCAACTGGTCATGACGAAGAGAATAGAACAGGTCATCTACGTTTACACTAAAAGCCGACCAGCTCATTTTTTTAAGCTGTTACACCCACCATGTCAACTTTTCTGTTCTTCATTTCACAGGTGACACAGATTAATCCCACAATTAATTGCCCAAAGTCCAAAAATCGTTGCACCGCCCCTTTAACCTGCAACAGACTATAGCCTAATCGGGAAAACCTCCGCAAGCAGTCAAACACGTTAAAGTAGCTCTTCTGGATGCAACATGAAAAAAAGCCTTGTTTGCAAACTACTTTCTTCCTTTTGTTCTGGCGATCGGGCGCACGAAGCGGCGATGGACGACATGCGCTTCTCGAAGTGTCGCAGTCTTTTCTAACAGCGGCCGACGCCACTTTTTCATTTGGAAGGTATGTAAATGTCGGCGACAAGGTGAGCCAGTTCGACAGCATCTGCGAGGTCCAGAGCGACAAGGCGTCGGTGACGATCACGAGTCGCTACGACGGACGTATCGTGAAGCTCTACCATGAGGTGGACGGGATCTGCAAGGTGGGCTCTACCCTGGTGGACATCGAAATCGCCGACGACGGCGCAGGTACGTCGCGTCTTTCCTCTCTCTCTCTTTTAACGTGGAACGTGTTTCATCGGCCGACTTCCAACGTCACGTGACATTAGGATGTCACGTGACACCCCGACGTCACATTGCATAACATTGTGCTGGTCTCATGCAGTTAGTCTGCTTCTTGCTCAGGGGTTGCGATGATGTCAGAACGCCGAGCTCTTATTGGCCGATTGAAAAAAATATAGTGGGTAGACTGCTAGGGGAGATCTACCCACTATCCTTTCAATCAAAGCCAATCAGAACTCTCCGTCGTTCTGACGTCACCAAAACCCCTGTGCAAGAAGCAGACGACTTGCTCTCCGCATAGTCGCTTGCTCGCTGAAAGTCTCGCCATTCTTGTAGAGCTGGTTGACTGCAGCTCTTTCACGGGGTTTAGCACCGACTTTCTCTGTAGCTCAAATGCGGGTCACGTTACCGAGTTGCAGAGGATCTTCTTGGAAGCCTCAGAGCAGCATACAACCCTTAGTTTCCCTAAGAGCCTTTTAGCAACGTGTTGACTGCTGCTCCATGGCTTCATGTTTGTCACATTACCGAGCGTTATGTTGAGTCAGTCGTGCGAGACGTGCCTCGCGTTGTGTGATGGCTTGAGTGAGGTCGCTCGGCATTTGAACGACCTGGGAAAGGACTACCAACTAGTAAACGTTCCCACTAGTTTAACCTGGTTAAAGGGAAGCTGAAGAGCTTCTTGAATACAAAAATTAGTTTCAGGGAGTTCTAGCGTATTTTTGTCCCGCGAATAGGAACATCACGAGAGTTTGACCCGAACGTATCGATAGATAGACGCTAGAAAAACCTTTAAAAACAACAGCTGGATGCGATGTCATACGCAGAGATTTCAAGTGCATCGCGCTTGCCGCTTGTGAGGGAGTGCGTGCAGCGTTTTTTACTGCTCGGGGAAGGCTTGCTGAAGGCGCGAAAATGTCAAGATCTCTGTATAATACGTCTGGGCTCCCTCATCCCGCACCTGATGCGCCGAGAAGGAGGGGCTTCGGCACTATTTCAAAAGCACTGACTTGGAGCGTCAATCGGAAATATCGTTTTGATATTCGTGATCTCGGAGGCCGAAAGAAACTATTCAATTGCTTTTACTCAAATACAAAACTGCTCCGTTTCCCTTTAAAAAAAAAACTAAAACAAAAAAAAAAAAACAATTTCAATTTTGTTAGAACAGGAATGTCTCAAAATAAATGTTTGCCAAAAAAAATATATTATGCCCAAATTTTATGTTACAATACGAATATTTCGATGTGCAGGTGAAACCGAAATTTTACCCTTGTGGGATAACGATGATAGCGTTTACTGGTGTGCGCTCCGAGTTCGCTGGACCTCAGAGCACACACTGGTTGGGTACAAACGCTGTCATCATCATCCCACAGGGGTACGATTTCGGTTTCGCCCTCAAATCGAAAAATGTGTATTGTAACAAAAATAATGGGACAAAAACAAATGTTTTACAGCGAAGTTGCTTATGGCTAGGGTTCCGTGGATTCTTCATCCGCACCGCCCTCTCTGTCGTCGTTCCAAGCACTTGCGTGCCTAGTCTCCTTTCCCTCCACCGGGTGGCGGCCCTCTCGCGCGTGTCTAAATTCCTCCGGCTCCTCACGGCGGCGATAGTCCTCGGCATGTGTGTGCATATTTTTCATCACAATGACCGTCGATAAAGACAATAAATGTGTTCGTACCTTTGTTCAAAATTCTGTGTCACGTCTGTGTCAAGTGCTAAACAGCTTCACTGGTCATCCACCTTTGCAGAGTGGAATGGCTCATGATTTTTTTCTACAAACATTTATTTTGATGAATGTCCGTCATGCCAGTCCTAACCAGCTGAAAAAAAAATTTTTCTTCTAGGTTTTGTGTTTCTTTAAGTATCTCGTATTTAAATCCTTAAAGTAATCCGTTTTCAAAAATGAATGCTAATTGCATAGTAATAGATTTGTGTTGGTGCCTGCAGTTTATGAGAAAAATAAGGGGGAAAAAGATGTTCTATGCAAACATCATTAAAAATATCTACTCCGGCTTAAAAGAGGCAACAACCAAAGTACAGACGCTTCGCCACCTATACAGGTGGCATCTTCGATACTAACCGACACAAATGAGGCGAGAGAGGCCAGACCTGTTCAGATGGGCGGTTTATTTGGCACATCCAGATTCCTCGGACAGCGACCAGGTTCAAGATCAGGCGGTGGGGGCGCCAGCCAGCCAGACATCCGCTCCCCATTCGTCGGACGCCTCCGGCCAACTGGACAAGGTCCTCACCACTCCGGCCGTTCGCCGGATCGCCATGGAAAACAATGTGAGCGGGCGTCGCATTTCATCGTGCCGTGAGCGGACGAAGAAAGTTACGAGAGCGTGTGGCACGGGCGTCTCTCGAAGCAACCTGCGAGTCCGTTGAATACAAAACAGTTTAAGCGCTCCTATAGACCATTCTACTAGGGTGAGAAAAGAGAGGGAAATGAATCTCTTTGTTTGGGCAGCTCCGGTGGTAGGGCCCACTGGAACTGCCCAAATGAGGAATACGTCGCATGCCCTTTCCGTCTTCCACCCCACCAAATCAGTTGCAACGCCCATATAGGACGGCCAGTTTGTCGTCTGCCATCGGGATCGGGCACGTGCCCGTTTCTTGTTTTGCCCCGACAGTTCTGTTGAAGTGCCCGGACATACGTAGATGGCGCTGCTGTCGAGCAAAAAGGTGCCGCCCAGAGAGCCCTTGATGGCATTTTTTTTTATTTATGTAGTATTTGAAAACACTGTCAGCCGATAAAGAACATACATCTACTACAAGTTGGTGATCCCATTTAGGTTAACAGCCGGGTGATGGAACGTTCGAAGGACTATCCAGTCTCTATATTCCCAATTTGTTTGGTAGCAGGTACTAAGCCTCAATCGTTCTTACAAAAACTTGCTGCTCAAAGGCGTCTATTCGGTTATTGAACATTTGGACTGTTTTGGAAGTGGTTTAGTCTGCCTGACCTTTTCATTTACTTGTTTGTAATCACTGGGAGATTGGTAAACTAAACACAAAGCATCTTATTATTGCTCCTTGGTCAATGCGATTGCAGCATTAGCCGACAAGACCACCGAAGAATGAATCACGAATATAATGAGCCACTTTCTGCGAGCACTTCAGGCGCCTGCAAGCGGATCATTTGGCTACCATCGTGTCTCTACTCGTGCGGGCTAGCTTGTGCAACTGATAGCCTGTCAAAGCCACGTTTGTGTGGGTGCTGAGCACGCTTGCATGTACAGGGCACCAGTTGGGGTATCGTGCTTGGAACCATGTGCAGATGGTACCTTGATTTCTCATATAGGCTTTGAGACATCTGTTGTTGTGCCACCGGTTACACGTTGATGCAGCCCCACAATTGGACATTGGCTGCCGGCTTTGTAAGAGTCTGGGTGAACGGAGGTTGGTTGGATTTTTCTCGCAATAGTTTGCTGCGTGAAGGGGGGCCTCTGCTACGTGTCCCAATAGACGTTTCCGGAAAATCTCGCAAGGCCTCTCGTCGACCCCACTCGCGCCGCACGGAGCGGGGAATCATGGGGCCGTCTTGATGTACGCTCGTGCCGGCTAGTACGCTCCGTAAATCCTGAAAGTGGCACATCTTCTTTCCCATTGTACCTCTGCGAGTTCGGAACAAAAGCAGAGCGGAGTGAACGCATCGCAAAGCTGACACATATCCTATTCTGCCATCGTCTGGCTTTCTTTGCATGTGCTCCCTCAAGTGCCGTACGTCAAATCGCCGTGGCGCGTTAAAGAGACGATTGGGAGGCGTTGCGTATTTCCGGAATGGTCTATTAGTTTGGTCATGTACCACTTAAAATAGCACCAGCCACTGATGCCGCATTTCTGTTCGCAGATCCGACTTTCAGACGTTCAGGGCAGCGGTAAAGACGGAAGAATCATGAAGGAGGACGTCGTCAGGTACATTGAACTTCTCCAAGCACCGAGTGAGTTGCGCAGCTTTTCCCACGTCATTATCTATACTCGGCATCAACTTTTCATGCTTCATTGTTATTGCTAGCGTAAATTCCACACTGGTGCAGAGCCACACCGCTGCTCGAGAATGTGGCTTCGTCCCGCGTCTCGTTCGTGTGGGCTCACGCAAGTAGCTCTGACAGCGCTGCAGTACCTATGCTTGTCTTGACAATGTAGCACAAAAAAGGCTGATGCCAAGTGTATTACCTCTCTCTTCCTTTTTTTTAGTTGTAAATTTTTGGGAATATTTTGTCAGTTCGAGGCTCGCGAATGCCTTGTAAGCTGGACTTAGCAGCTGCCAGTATGGGCCTCAAACTAGCCCTCTGATGAACTCTTACAAAGATGTCAAATATCTGTCATCCATTGTCATTAACTTTTGTGTCGTGTGTGGAAAGTATGCAAATAAATCCGCCCATTCTGACTGAATGTCTCGCCTCATACTCAAAGGGGCACCAACAAGGTACTGTTGTGAACAGTATGAGCGGGAACGCCGGAGCGCATGGCCTTCAACACAAATTGCGCTACCTCGAGGCTGATGAAACAGCGTACTGGAGAGGGAGGGGGGGGGGGGGGGGTGCACGTCTGAGTAAGCTCGCACTCTCTTAGCCTTCTCTCCACTCCAGTTTTATCGGCTTCGAAAGGTAGCACAGCGTTTGTCAAAGGCCACGCACTCCGGCCCTTCCTCTCATTCGTTCACAATAGTACTCACACTTGCCAAGATTTTTTTCTGAAACAATCTCCAAAATCCCAACTACCTACCCAGAAAAAAAAAAAAAAAAAAAATTGTGGCTCAAAGCTTGCATTTTTTTTTTTTTTTTTTTTTTTTGCGTGATATTTGTCTTTTGAAAATTGAGTGTTCACGTGTTATCCTCGTTCTGTTTTTTCCGATGACACAGTGCACGCCATTTCTAGGCCATCTAAGGCATGTGATAATCATAAAAGTAATCGAACCCATGACACATAAATTTATTGCCACTAAAGCACCGAAAATGCGTCAATCTAGAGAAACTTTAAGCGCGCAGTCACGGCGAGCGCTGGTCCCTTGGTTTCGGATTGACTTTGTTCCTTTTTCTCAGCAAATAGTGTGTGATACTACAGCGAAAGAATATTTGGGTGGCTTCTCGACACTATAGACCCAGGGTAGTGAACAGGAGGTGCCCCTGTCGGCTGTTAGTCAGTGTAGCTGGTGGCTGAAAAGGGCAGGCCATGCCACCGAATGATGGGCACAAGGACTTTATCCAAGTTCGGCAGGGCACCCGGAGGTTCGTCCTCGAGATTTGGTCGAATTACAGCAACCGCGAGCATTCTCACAGTTGCGAAAATTTCGCACAAGGTGGCATCACCTGTCAAACCAAACTTTGTTGCCTGGTTGGTGTACCCCATTGTACAGGGTCGTCGAGATAAATCCGGAAAATTCGCCATATTCAAGAAAACACATAAAGGCAGAGAAAAAATCTAGGTCTTTGTTCATTTCCAAACTTATTATCGACCTCGCCACTCCCATTTCATCGGCGAGGTCGTTCATGCTGTGCCCTGGACCCTTCTAGATTTTTTTGCTTCAATTCGCAGAGGTATTCCTTATTTCTTTTGCGATTTGACCATTTTTTGTGCTTTGCTTTGTCTGCCGTAACGTTTTCCTGGCTGTAAACAAGGGTCTTCTTGTAGACAAACCACGCAATGATTTGCTTAGGCGATTTTCTGGTGCAAAGTGACTCGAATACAGTATTGCTGCCCTCCGGTCTTATTCCCTGCTGATTTTTGAGCAAGTCGCGAATTGTTCGTTATGCGATGGTTCGCTGTTGAACAATGGGGCCGCAGAAGCACGACACAGCCGCTTAGTTTCACTGTACTGTTTGCCAGACGAAATATGGAAGAAGTCCGGATTTATCTCCACGGCCCCGTACTGCACGAAAAAGATTCTTTTTAAGGGGCATCAGTGTCCCTCTAAAGGGCTTAGGCCCAATTGTTGCCAATTCGTAGTGCCGCTTCGAGTTGTCGCTCACCCCAACGAAGCCCGTATGCCCCAATTTAGAGGAGCCAACCGCCGCGGCGCCCAAGCCGACCGCAGCCAAGCCGCAGCCGGCTGCCAAGCCCCCGGTTGCGGCGGCAGCGAAGCCACTGCCTGTCACGGTGATCCGGTCAACACAAGATCGGGTGGAGCCACTCAAGGGGATTCGCAAGGCCATGGCCAGGACGACGACCCAATCCCTGGCCATCCCGCACTTCGGCTACTGCGACGAGATCGACGTGACGCGGCTGGTCCAGCTCAGGCCCCTGCTCAAGCCTTTCGCCGAGAGCAGAGGGGTCCGGTTGTCCTACATGCCCTTCCTCGTAAAGGTGCGGGAGCCGTGTGCCGACCGAATGTCGCAGTTTGCTTCGTTTCCTTGCTCCGCTGTTTTTTAATGCAGAACGCATTTTGCGAGTCCTTTTCTGTGAAAAAAGTTGTATGAACTATAAACGTGGACGAGCGTCGTGAACAAACGACGCACTGGGAGCTTTACACGGCCCTGAGGTTATACCATATAAAGTTTCTGTATAAAATTTGAGCCCCGGCGGGACTGAAACTCGGTTTGGTGCGGCAGGAGTAGGATACTCTAGCCACTGAACTGCGTAGCACGGCTAGTCTGAAAGATTAGGCTTCCAGCAGAATGTGCCAGCGAGAGCGGTGTGATGTAGTACAACGTTGGCAGTCAGGTCAGCTGAACACGGAAAGAGCAAGAACACGAAGAAAAGGACTGGACATTCACACCGCTGTCCAGTCCTTTCCTTCGTGTTCTTGTTTTTTCCGTGTTCACCTGACCTTATTGCCTACAGCAGGGGTTCTCAAACTTTTCGGTCTCACGGAACCCCGGGAAGCCTCAAAGACTGCCGCGGAACCCTCCCCGCCCTCCATATTTGCCTACCGAGAAGCAACAGATGCACAATTGTAGGCAATTTTGCTTGTGTTGCTTCCCATATATCCCCACCATATCAATCGCAATGTCAGTGCGAAGTGAGATGGAGGCGCTTTGCATGGTCCTGCTGCGTAGCCTGCGGCGTGGGGGGGTAGGGTGAGGGGAGGGGGTTGCAATTTGGGTGTTCACGGAACCCATGAGACCAGCTCGTGGAACCCCTGTGTTCCCCGGAACCCAGTTTGAGAACCCCTGGCCTACAGTGTGTACCAACTAGCTCAACTAAAACCCGTAACTTAGTACAATGTGACCGCTCACCTTGTTGACGTCACACATCGCGCCAGAGTCACATGAGGTAGCACCCAGGCAGCACGTCCATTCACTTGTTCTCTCTCGCCTTGGCTGACATCTGTGGTGCACAATGAAAAGAACTAGCACAGACCACACGCAAAGTGTGGTTTGTACTAGTGTCACGCGCAGCCTGTGCGGCACACGGGACGCATTCCATGCTCTTTGGTCTTCGTCAGCATAATTGAGCGAACGCAGTTGTTTTTTGTTTTTTTTTGTGCTCTTGTTGCGATTCATAGTCTCGGGGCAAAGACAAGGAGGCGCACCAGCCGGCCGCTTGTTGGTGCTTCCGGTGGCCGAAAAGGGCAACTACGGGCAGGCCACGCCACCGAACCATCGGACACGAACGCTGAATTGCAGTTCAACAGGGCGCTCGGACGCTCTAGTTGAGACTGGATCCAACGATTGCGGCCGTGAGCCTTCTCAGACTTGCGAAAATTCCGCATAACATGGCACCACCCGTCAAAGCGAACTTCATTGCCCTATCGGTTTGGGTCACAGCAAGTGCCCGTGACCCACGGCATGCGTGCTGTGGTGTTATCTTTCCACTGTTTGGTAGTCAAAGAGTCGTGTGAATTATTTCCACAGGGATTGTTTTTGAAGTTCCGTTAGAATGCTAATACGTGATTCGTCTGCTTCGTGAAATGGAAGTCACGACGACACTGAGTGTGCCCAAATCCGTCTCGATGACGTGGGCTTCCCAGTGAAATCGTTCTCGTCGAAGTCAGCTAGGCATGCTCGCCGACTTCAGGGCCAGTCTGTCTTGGAGTAAACACTCAATGAGGCGTACTTGGTGATGCAGAAATCTAATTGAGCTATACACAGCAAAGAAATCTCGCCGAGGTTTCTGTGTCTGTCCGTTCTCTTAATTCAATCTTCCTCAGTCTCGCGTTGCCTTCAGAGAAGCACACTAGCTCACTTGCCTTATCACTTTGTCACCAATGCCAAACACAGGGTGTTCTCATGTGCTGTTTGGTCGTAAAAGAAATATGTAGAAATAAGCCAATAGACGGAGTGCGCTGGAACGTTTCACGGAGGTGTCTCCAGGGGGTTCATTCGTCGCACCCAATTTTCGTGAATGTGGGTTTCTGGAGAAAGATGAGAGAAAAGAGAAATGTGTCATTCCTGTGCGCAAGGAGACACGGAAACAATTCGTCCAGTCGGATTCCCCGGACACCCTCAAGCTGTCTTTGACAGCTTTCATTTCTGGGGGTCTCCCAACACCATGTTGGAAATAAACAAATTAAATTGAATTGAAAACTCTCAGACGTACCGCACACACTCGGATCTGCTGTATCTGCTTTCTGGTGTTCATCTCAAAGAAGCTTTCACGTTCTTGTTTCCTCTTGTGCTTTCTGTAAATAGCAACATCAACCAGATTTCTCTCTTCTTTTTTTTTTCCCCCTGCGCATAGGAATAAGATGTTTTCTTTTTTTGTGTTTGCTTCCAGGAATGTAAACTCACGAAATTTGAGTATGATTAATGCACCACCTAAAGGCACCTTTGGGGAAATTATTATTGCACTCTGTTCATCAACTTGTGTATGCTCTTTTTTTTTTTTTTTTTTTTTTTTTTTTTGCAACTGAGTGGCACTTGGAGACGCCTTGTAGGTTGGAAGTCTTCCGAGCGGTCACATTTTGGTTTGACGTTGGTTGTTCCGTTTCAGGCCCTGTCGGTCGCCCTGCACGAATACCCCGACCTCAACGCCCACTTTGACGACAAGGCGGAGAACCTCACCATAAAGGTGAGCAGATCGCCTCGTCTACTTGCCGACTTCCCGCCCACCCCACCTCGACCTTCCTTGTTGTACCGAAACGAGGCAGGTACGATTGGCGGTGCTGCGGAAAATGTTAGCGCCGAGATGCTTCGGTGGCAGCCTTTCATTTCCTTTTTATTTATTTATTTTATTTTATTGCATTGCCAGCCAATATGTATTCAAACTTGGGACAAAGCCAACTGTAGACAGAAGCGGTTGGAGCTGATAGTGGCAGCCGGGTTCTTTGTCACCAAGGTTATCTTTCGAGTTGCTCACAATGCCGCCAGAGGCAAATTTAAAGGCGATCTGCAAAGGAAAACATTTTTGCTTTTAAACAGCCTGGATGGAAAAATAAGTATGCAACGAAAAAGATAAATTATCAAAGTTATATTTACGTTGCGAAACAAATTTGTAGTTAGCTTTTGCTGGGGGCCGTGGAAAAGTTGCAACTAGCAGTCATGTGACTGGCCACTAGTCATGTGGTGCTTGCGCTTTTCTGGGAACTTCCTATGGGCCCTAAAAGTTACTTATCAAGTGTCCTCTCATCATCATCATCATTGCCATAGGTGTGGGTACCGGTTGACGACATTGAACCTCAAAACGTAACGTTAGGCCTAACATCATGCCAGTGCACCCTTGTGTCCCCCCCTTGCATCAAACAGCTGCGTGTTCTGGTTGACGACGTTAGACCTCAAAGCGTAACAATAGGCCTAACGTTAGGCCAGCGCATACCCGCGTCCACCCCTCCCGCTGCACCGCCCACAGTTCGGCCGGCCCTTTAGCAAAAATGATGCTGTTGCTATGAAGCCACATGACGCATCACAGCCAATGTGAATTTAGGTGCCATTTTTCGCTGCTACAAACAATGTCTGCTACGGTTCATGGGGTAGTTAGTGCTTTTGCATTAAAATAAGATTAATAAGTAGAACTTATAGAGGCCATAAGAAGCTCCCGAAAGAGTGCAAGCACCATGTGACCAGTGGCCAGTCACGTGATTGCTAGTTGCCACTTTTCCACGGGCTCCCACGGGTGCCTACTACAAATTCGTTTTGCGCTGTAAATATAGCTAAAAAAGTTGTGTAATTGCAAAATCATTTAATGACACCAGTTTTCCATCCAGACTGTTTAAAAAATATTTTTTTTCCTTTGCATATTTTTTTGAGATTCAAAGGGGGAGTCACTCAAGGTCAAGCTCTAATGAAAAAAATTACATACACAGTTTTTTTTTTATGTTTGTCTTTTGGTGAAATGTTATTTAGGTCAACAAAATAGATCTGGAAAATGCTTCACCAATGACATCACATCCTTGCAGAGCCCCCCCTTCCCTCCCTCCCGCCCCAAGCATGACCCATAGATCTGCCCCTGAATGCCACTGGGTAGATTGAAATGCTCGGTACTTCCATTAAAACTAGGCGGTGGCGTCCCCAGTGTCTTCTCTTTCTTGCCGTACGAGCTTGTGAGGCCGAACGAACCAAGAGGCATGAGAAAGGGGGTATCAAAGGACCCTCTCTCATTTCTGTACACTGGGCTGCTAGAATTGTCGTATGGGATCGCTCCCATGTGGGGGATGAGAAGTCTACACTGAGCGACCGTTCAGCGCAACCGCCCTTCCTTGGTCCATAGATGCTGAAGGGTCATGTGATCTCGCCCACAGACCCCTTACAATTTTTCTTAAAGGTCACATGCTCTCCTGGAAAAGGTCTAGATAGACCCCAGGGACCTCTCAAAACTCTTGGTGGATCATACAGAATTTTTTTCAATAGGCATTTTGCAAAGCGTGCATTGTAGTCCACGGTTCCGTGAGGATTGCCGAGAGTCTAAGGTATAACCGGTTGGCGATCCAAATAATCGTGCGTTTTATTGTGCCCCCAAACAGCTGGTAGGCCTTAGGAAAGGGTGCACGTACAAGAGGCAAATCAATATTCTGTCTTTTAATTCAATCAAGTATGGTCCATTCGTCTGGATGTTTTCGATTATATTTCCGCTTAGAGATCACGTACGATGCTGAAAAGTGCCCGTAATATTAAAAGTATATAAAATATATATAAATAAAAACAGAAATGTAGCGGACGACAGAGGCGACCTTGGGGCAGACGTCGAGTGGGCGAAGGCAGGCAAGCAGCTGGGTTACCCTCTTGCGCTCTCTTGTTTAACGTGGGGCCAAGAAGCAGCGTACAGGACTCTGCGCGCGGCGTTGAGGTATTTTTGCAAAAGGAATAAAGGGCTTCCCCTCGAACCAGGGTTTATTATGTGCAACCAGTTTTTCAAGTCACCATAATCCAATCCGATCCAGGTGCCAAAGCAATTGTGCACAGTTTAAGGGGGGACACTACCCAAAAAAGTAAATTTTTGAACCACTCGTCTGATTTAAATTATATGTACAGGGGCTTGTTTCTGTTGATGTTGAGAACATTTCTGCCAAATTTTGTTAACCTGGGTGAAGTACAAAAAAAAACTGCAAACGCTCAAAGATGAAAGTGGGCATGCCTGCGTAGGAAAACTATCATTTTGAAATTACTTATAAATTTGTTGTTTTCATGTGTTACATTGCATTAAGATAGTTCAGAGCAGATAACTTTGGAGCTATATTTCTAATTTATACCATCTTTCATGACCAAAAAGCCACATAAACAGAAATACAGCTTTTAGATTTCCATTCTTTGTGCAAAATTTTTGTTTTTGAGCGCGAAAAATGACAAAATTAAAAAATACAAGCTCATAGTTATCTTCTCCTTAAAATTTCACCCCAGAAAAACTCATAAAAATGAATCCAAGTTATGCAATAACAAAACGAGAGTTTTCCTCAAGTGAAATTTATGCCAGGAAGTGGAATGGAGAAAAATGTGTTCAAAGTGCTCCAACCTCTACCTTTTCTTTAGGATCGGTGCGCCAAAATTAATTTATAAAAAAAAAACTATGCAGTACAATCTAATGAAACTTTCTGGGAATACCCTCTAGATTTTGGTGGATGTAAATATAACATTTTTCAGAATGAATGTTTTTTTGCAGAAATTGTTTTTTCTGGGTAGTGTCCCCCCTTAAGGGGCGAAGCTCCTTAGGGTCTAGCCTTGTCCGGCGTCCGTGCTCTCATCGATTGCCATCCCATTTGTCTTAATTAACGCAGATGGGATTGCCATCCCATCTGCGTTAAACTTTGCATGCATTGGCTCAATGTTTATAGACGAGAGGGCGCTGTGGTCAATGCTCAAAAAATCAGTATCATCAGCACCATCAGGGTTTCACCCCAATCAACGTCATTCACCACGTGGAGATGCGGTCATTTTTTCTTTCTTTTTTTTTTTTTTGTTTAATTTGTGTTAGATTGTGATTGTCCGACGCGAAAAGCTAAGCCAGAAGCTTTCATAGTTTTCTACACCGAGAAGCGCTTATCTCTCTTCAATCTTGTATGATGGTTGAGGAGCCCCTTCCGGTCTCTGCATTAATGCAATAGCATTGCAGAAGTTGACAGATGTTGTAAGGCATAGTGCCCACTCTAGAGCGTGTTTAACACATACAGGGTGTCCCCCCAAAAAATTACATAATTTTTCTGTGCCGCAAAAATAAACTACCCTATGCATCGCCGGATGCTCATTCTCGGCCGAAATGCACCGCTAGTGGTCCGTCTCAGTACTAACCGTTGTCTTATTCAAAAGTTGTGTGTGCGTGTGTTTTTTTTTTTTTTTTATTTATAGAATTGGATGGCGCTCATTTGGGCAGAGAATACGAGTTTGGCAACACATAGTTTGTTTTTGCGGTGAAAAAAAAAACCTGTACATTTTTTTGGGGGGGACGCGTACTAGGTTATGCTTTAGTGGGTGGTTCAGCTCCGCTGAAGTAATGCCTAAACTGGAAGGACAGGAACAGTTGAGAAAATTTAGGTGCTCGGAGAACGTATGGGCTAAGCCACTGCGATCCAGTTCGACCCAGGTGCCTAGGTAATTGTGCTTATGTTTTTGTCTTGTCTTCCTTTTCTTTTCTCACTAAACACGTCACTTCACGAGAAAAATAAAGCAAGTTTTGCTCGTTGCTCATACGTCGCCCGGCGACGTAGTTCTTACAAGATTCGGTTGTTGGGGGAAGAAGTGATGCTTTTTGTAATTGAAACTCATATGTCTTGATAAGATCACATGTACCTAATCTAAAATGCTCCTACATATACAAGAGGGGACCCAGAATGAAGCCGAGTTTATTTTTACATATTTATATTACGTATTTATGTTTACACGCTCAAATTTCACGCACCTTCAGAGTACTCTTCGACTGATGCAATGCACTTATTTATTTATTTATTTATTTATTTATTCTGCTTAATGTGCCCACAAACAGCTCGAGGCCCTATTAGTGCAACTTGTCGAGGTGTTTCTTTCAGTCATTAAAACATCCTTTTAAACTCGTCGATCTTAATGCCTTTCAGTGCTTCTGCCACTTTTTGTTTCACCTTTTTCACATCAACAAACCATTTTCCTTTTAAAACTTTTTTTCATCTGGGGGAAAAAAACAAAAAAAAGTCACACGGGGCAAGGTCGGGCATATAGGGAGGGTGGGGCATGGGAATCCTCCCGATTTTGTTAAAAAACTGCTGGACACTCCGCGCGGTGTGGGCGGGCGCGTTGTTGTGGTGAATGAACCGATCTAGGAAGAACTCGGGTTGTCATTCTGCCCGCACCGGGCTGAGTGTTTCGGCAATTTTTGTCTGAAAATGGCATCCATCCACCCTACCTACTTACCCAACCCCGCCCCGTGTGACTTTTCGGTTTCCCCAGATGAAGAAAGTTCTCAAAGTGCAACAGTTTGCCGACATAGAAGAGGTGGAACGAAAAGCAGCAGAAATACCGAAAGGCATCAAAATCAACGAATTTCAAGGCTATTTTGAGTGGTGCAAGAAGATGTATTGCATCAGGTGGAGAGCACTGTGAAGGTGACTAAAATTTTAATGTGTAAAAATATATACACGATTTAGTAAAAATAAAATTCCGGATCTATTCGGGTCTCTCCTCGTATCTTAATTGTCCACAGAAAGGGGAAAATCAGTCATTCTTTGCGAGGAGCAGGACTTTTTTTTACTACGGTTCTTGAACTGAAACTAAGCATAAATGAAGTTTCTTTTTCAAATCGATCACCCGACGCAAAGTGCTAAGCCGCCGCGACCCAATTTGATCCAGGGCGCCCACCACATCGGCATAGCCATGGACACGCCCAGCGGCCTGGTGGTGCCCAACGTGAAGAATGTGGAGTCCAAGAGCATCCTGGAGGTGGCCGCAGACCTCAACCGGCTCCAGGAGCTGGGCATGGCGGGGCAGCTATCCAGCGCCGACCTCACAGGAACCACCTTCACCCTCTCCAACATTGGCACGGTGAGTTGGTGCTTTCTTGTCGAGACACTCGTTGCATTCGCGACAGCAAAGAACAGAGGTTTTCTGCGAGTTGACGTTTCGCCAAATTACCCAAGCACTTTGGAGAATGCTGGGAACGTAGGTACACGTGCTGTGCATGCTCGCCTCATCAGTAGTATTATGTGTTCTAAGTAAGGTAATTAAATTAAGTCATTGATGAATTCGGATGCCAATTTAGAGCCACTTAGGTTTTCGCTTCTGAACAGTTGACTGCCGCGCACCAGCACGTGCAGCATCTGAAACTACATTTGCAGCATGCCTCTTGGTGGTAGGTAACTTGGTGAAAGGTCTAGTTGCAGGTCTCACAAATCAACTGCATGTTGATTACATGTTGGCTACCTGTTAACAGCTTCTTTACTGCCTGCTGACTGCGCATTGACTGTCTATTGTTTGCCTAATTATTGCCTACAGACTGCCTTCTGATCACCTGGTGATTGCTTGTTGACAGTTAATTTCCTGTTGATTTCTCAACTCAATAGGTGGGCGTTCGTTCGCGACTTTATGACAGTTATACCGAACACAATGTAGCACGGGAGTTTCCAGTATCTCCAAGGCATTTGGTTATACACGCGTGTAGTTCTTTTTTTGTGCGTAAACAAATCACAAAGGACAATTTGATTATAACCCCACCTTCAGTAACCATCTTACCGTCTTTAGTGCCGTTTCGTTCTCTTCCGAGCCATGAATGAAAAAGCCAAATTGTGGCGACAATCTTTCCAGGTGGGTGGGACGTACGCCAAGCCCATCATTGTGCAGCCCATGGTTTGCATCGGTGCCGTCGGCCAGATCAAGGTTTGTTTGTTTCTTTCACAATTTTAGCCAGAGTATCGAAGAAATTGTTTCTGTCTTCGTCTTTGAGGCTAAGTTTGCTCTTGTGTCTTGTCTGACGTTACAGCCTAAGTCAATCTATAAATGCCAGGAGCCTTTCATCCACAATTTATTTTGTTTTTGTTTTGTAAAGGGTATGAAGCACCATTTGGTTGCTCCTAAATTCATGAGCAACCATTAACTACCAACACCCCCTGTGAATTTATGAGGGGTGTTGGGCGCCGCACACATCTGTCATAGACGTGCTCCTAGAACCGTAGTCACGAGGAGCACAGTCACAGCTGCGTCGCTTCGGAGAAGAAAGTGCTTTTCTTACGCAAGTGCCATAGTGGTGTTGTCTCCGACAGCGCAAACTGCACACAACCCACAGAGTGCAGGAGCACTCTAATGAGTGACAGGATGAGAACAAGAGGGAGGTAGTTCAGTTGTCCCGCCTCCAGTGCAAGACAGATTGCATGCAGCGAATGCGCCGCGATCCTTTTTTTTTTTCTCTGCACGATTGGTTTAGCAAAAGATGGCAAACGCACAAATACGACGAGCAACGAGCAACATGATAATGCGCTTTTGGGGCCGCCTGAATAGCTTCGTCGAAGCATAGTGTCGACTGCGGTCGGACTTGGTGTGAAACGGAGTGTGTTAGGTCATTTTTCGCTCGCTTTTGACGACGTACCTTTCATTGCAGCTGCTCCCACGCTTCGACAAGGAAGAAAATCTCATCAAGGCGCACATAATGCAAGTCAGCTGGTCGGCCGACCACAGGGTCATAGACGGCGCCACCATGTCGCGCTTCTCCAACCTCTGGAAGACATACCTCGAGACGCCGGCAGTCATGTTGGTGCATCTAAAGTAGACGTCGGCGGCCACATTGGTGCACCCGAAGTAGAGCCCACCGAGTCGTGGCATGTTGACCCGCGCGCCCAGCCAAGCGAACGGACGCCAGCCATGCGCTGGACTACTTGTTTCTCGGGTCGTCTGCTCTGAGATGAAGGAGAGGACAGGAGGTTCTGAAACAATGGTTTATGTTTTGCATTTTGTTTCTAGCTGTCTTTGTGTACATAGAGTGGGAAACCTGAACCTTAAATAATAGATCCTGAGAATCGATTTCTTATGCTAGACCTCTGTCGTTTGCCGTGCAGGTGTGGCTAGGAGGAGCATTTGCTCTGTGAACGTACCAAAAGAAAAGATCTTTTATGAATCAAGTTATTAACAGAAACCACGATTTTCGTAGACTGATATGGAGTTATAAGCCTTGCTTATTTCAATCTGAAGTTTTGTAAGCTTATTGATTTAACATAATCGGGTAGGCCAAAAGAAAAAATAATTCCGACGAAAAAAAAAAGGCTTAACTCTATATTGGCCCATGGTCAAATTTTTAATTTTATGTGTAACTTTAATTTGAGGCCTGTTTTTGCTTTGCCATTTTCAGGATCCAAATTCTCCCACCTGGCATCATCTTCGTGGTAGATCACAGTGTGGTAGCAATCGAAGCAGATTTTTACGGTTCGTTTTAAGTATGCTAGATCCGTTTGGTCCACCCCGTGTGTTCGAAGACTCGTCTTGGTTGGGTGGGCCCTCTGTCCCACCTGGAGCGTGGCTGGACGTCCGACAAGTCTTGAGACTTTGAAACTGCAGTTTTTGATTTCGTTGCGACTCTCGCAGATCCATCATCCAGATGGAGGGTTGACTGTCGTGGTGGCTCCACATCTGCCACAACTTTGGGTGATCTGGTATACTCGTACACTTGCAGAATGAATGGATGAGCCGCGATACGTTGCTTCCTAGCATGCATGGTACGGGGAGGCGGGGATCACTATGTTGGCTGTTTGGGTTCAAGTAGAGCTTGTGTAAATGTATGTTCACGGACTATCACATCAAAATAAGGTGCATTTGTTGTTACTTATTGTTTTTATGCAATTATTGCAGGATGTTGGGTTGACTGCTTCGGCTCGCAGCGTCCTCTTAGGTCGTTGTAAGGTGAAGATACAGACAGAACAAATAGTTGATCGGAACATTTGAGGTTGACAGTTGTGTGCAGATGAATGAGCACTATGTGAAAGTGGAGGGAAGTGTGTAAGATGTGGAGGGTGGTGTGGTAGGTGTGAAAATATATTGCAGATGAGATAACTAACTGGCGCAGCTTTTATTTTGATTTTTTTATTGGGTTATTTTTTTTTTCTTCTTTTTTATAGGACCTCTTTTAGTTGAGGTCCCATTCCGCAGCCAATTCCAGAAGTGCAAGCAACTGCAAGACAAAGTTCACAGATGGGTTTCATTCTGCACTGTTTCTACTCTTTGTTGTTTTTCCTCTTTCCTTTTTAAACCTGCAGCTTATCTGCACAATGAATGAGCTTAGGGGGAAATAATGTTGGTTAATGGTGTTAGGATTGGGAGCAAAATAAAGTGTACCGGCATCTTTGCTGTCTTGATCGCTTTGACATTGCGCTAACCCGTTTTTCCTGGAAAAGTATAGAGCAGGCCATGGTACATTTTGATGAATGTACCACTCTTGCTAAATGTAACCTCACATTTCAAAAAGACAGTTTATAATAGATCTGACTTTTTTTTTTTTTTTTTTTACGTTTACTTTCTGTAATGATGTGCAACACTGTTGCGGCTGCTAACGCGAGCAGCTGCAAAATCTCTTTTAGCAACAATTTCGGAGTGTAAAAATCATTTGCACGTGCGTTCATGCAACTATGGTGCCTTGAACGCGTCTTCGATTACTGGTGTGTTTACCGCGTCCTAAAAAATGGTCCCTCAATTTCCGCCTGATGACGTCATAGTCACGCCGGTGCCGGCCGCGACCCTGGCAGTGTCCCAGCAGTGGTGATGCGTGTGGCAGACGCCTGTTCTGCTGCAGGTCGCTGCTCAATGTGACAGTTCGCGGAAGCTTCGGCACAGAAGTTGGGACGTCGTGACGACAGTGACACTTGCGTTTGTTTGTGCTTTTCGCCAGCAGTTTTTTGACCAACCGCCAGGATCAAGGCATGCAACAGCATGACACTCCGGTTTCTGCGTTGTCATTTGTTGCCACCTGGGGACCACTTTTGATGTATGGGTGGCATAGGGCGCTAAACACACCAGTCGGAGATACGCGCTTTAGGCACCATAGTGCAACTAAGCCACGTGCTCTGTTGGGGCCCCGTGCATAGGGATATACCATGCAAGGAGCTCTCATCAGTGGCGCCCAGAGATGCCTCTAAAATGTATTGTAACCGTGCTTTTCCTTTTTTTTTTTTCTTTTTAGAGCGCAGTTTTTAGGCGTTTGTTACCGGGTTGGTTCGCGTAACCGCGCATTGCATTATGTGACTTTCCCATTGACGTCACGAGGGTAAAGTTCCGCCATAAATTTGTCGGGAAAATTGTTCACTAAATCTGGCGGGAAATTTTTCAGCTAAATTTAGCGGGGCAATTTCCATAATGACTTCGTGAATTTTCAAGTCACGTGACGTCGCACGTGAAATTGAGGTGTGACGTCAGTTTAGCGAAAAAATTTCCCCGCTAAATTTAGCGAAAATTATCCGCTAAATGGGATGGGAGCAGCAGAGGAGGAAGATGGGAGGGGAAGGAGGAGCATACCCTAGCTCTCCTCCTCCTCAAGAGCTGCACTCCAGTTCGGCACGGCAACGGTTTGCTAATGGTCCCTACAAAAAATTGTAAACTTCTTTATTTTTTTTTTTTTCAATGCATTTGTTTTTATATGTGTCGCGTGAATAAGTTTCCCGCCTCCAGCTTTGCATTGGCTTGTGCTTCTTCATCACCTTTTCCTTTGTAATCCCGCGATGTATGAATCGGAAACTGTAAAGGGCGGTGACGTGAACCTACGAAAGAAAACACTGCGATGTTCAAGACAGTTACCCACCATCGTGACGCCATAACGATCGAGTAAATTGGCGGGAAAGACGTCCACCTTTGAAGGAACCGAAAGCACACCGGTACCCACCATATTGCATTGAATTTATATATATATATATATATATATATATATATATATATATATATGCACGCGTTTTAGAGAGTTTTTGCGCGAGCACCAGTGCGTGCTTTGATGCCATTTCCCCGCCCAAAAGTTTATCTACATCTTGACCGGCACCGCATCCTTGCGATGCTCAATCCAACAAAAAATGCCATTCTCACTGGTCGAGTGGGCTAGCTAGCGCACACCAGCTCGTAGCCTGCCCGTTTCGATGTGGACGAGCATCGTACCGGCGTGCGGTCGTGTATCACTACCGCGTGATTAAATTTCTCGTCTACAGCTGTAAGACAAGTCTCCCCCTCACTATAATCCGAGACTGCGGTAGGAGTGCTACGGAGGACTCGCGACAGTTGATAACGTCACACCTCACGCGGAATCGCACCGCCCGAGGCACGCGCGGGGTCTTTGAGCATGCTCGAGATCGATGTCGGCTGCCGCCGCTGTTGATTTACATTCGAAAGGATCCGATCCCGGTAAGTGCTCTAATCGTCTGCGAACCCCTCTGCGCCGCCCGAGGGGGTCAGCGCGGGTGGCGAAGGTCAGCGCTACGTCGGGGTCGAGGGGAACACTTTCCCACGGGCACAGCTGGAGCCGAGGCAGGTTTCCGCTGGAAGACCTTGTTGCCGCCAAGCGCTCTAAGGGAGCGCCGAAGGAGCCCAAAAAATACCGAAGACACTGAAACGGCGTGCCAGTAAACTGTCGACCACTTCCCCAATCTCCGATGCCTGCTGTCGGTCGACCGTTGTGATTATTCGGCACCGACGTGGCGCGTGTGACTAAGGTCCAGTGCTAAGATATGGCACCGGCTGGCAGACCAATGAATAACTTTTTGTTTCGGTGGAGCTGCGTAGTACGTACGTACAGTACGTACATCAAGTAGACGTGCTGATTAACTTAGCTTGGTGGCTAGGCGGCGTAAGCTAACGCCCGATCCAAAGGGCTCAGCCGGATTCATCCATTCATCCAGCATAGATTTTACGCCATTTTTACAATGATTAGGTTTGCATCGTGCTTAGCTGCATGAAGGTATGGCATCGCGGACTGCTCAAGTTTCTATCCACTCGTCGTCTGCTGAGCAAACCGAGCAGTCGTCTGTATCTGCAGTTGCTCGCTTTGCTGCCTCGGCCTCCTCGACTGGAAATTGGGGAAGTTTTGAGAACCACACCCGTGTCGCGACAATCAGCAGATGCGCTAAAGCGGATTGAGGCAGAGATCGTCTAGTCTCTTGTTACCGTCATTTTTCAAGGGGTCATGACCAATTACGCATGACAAAGCAAACTTAGAAGAAAATAACCTGGCATTTTTCAATTAATTCTGCTGCTACGCCGCCATGTTCATCCTAAAACCTGTAGTCACGCTTGTAACTTTTTGCTTGCCTCTTCTAAAAAGCGCAGTGCTTGTTTTTCCTGGGAACACTGTCGGGATCTCAAGCAAAAAATAATAATATATATATGCATATATATATATATATATATATAGAGAGAGAGAGAGAGAGAGAGTCGCAGGTTGAAAACCACCAGACAAGCTCAGTCTCACACAAGGCCCTCCGCTCTTTCCACTTTAGCAGAGCGAACGCTGGAGAGGAGGAAACTGACAATTGTGGCGAACTGGGAGCTTTGTGGCAGGGGCTTGTTGTTCATACTTGAGGCAGTGATATACGGGGCTATGAACCTGCGCCACGATTGCCTCTACATCCTTTTCCGACTACACCGCTAACGACAACTGTTCAGACTGGAGGTGGTATAACTGCCAAAAAGCACTAATTGTTTTCAATCAACTTCTAATGTCTCGCAATTGCGTTAGAGAGTCGCTCGTGTACGTTATAAGTTATAACGTTGAAATTTACAATTTAGTTCGGACAAAGATAGACTGTAACACTTTGGAGAGTCTACGCAGTTTCGAGACATTTCAGGATAAACTTAAATACTTAAAAAGAATGCGTGCGTGCAAAGGGTGCTTCGCACTAAGATGAAGCAATTTCGCTTGACACCGACCTGGAAAAATAAATGCGGCTATCATGTCTACATTGTTTCGTTCGTGTCGTCTGCTACAAACCTGGCGTCGTCTGCTACTACTCCGAAAACGAAACTGCCTCAGCGCCCGCCCATCGCCACGGCGTGGATATCCAATCCGAAAACTGCCTTTGACTCCTAACACTATCCAAGCCAATCCAATCCGGATAAAAAAAAAAGAGAGAGAAAACAAGATTTCTTCTTATTCTTTATCTCCTTTTTTATTGTCGTCTGCTCTTGCTCTTGTTACTGGTTCTGCAAGCTTCTGCGCCGTGACCCACATGATCGCGCCTGTACAAGGATATAAAAAGAAATTCTAACGGGTGCATCACGTATAAAAACATGTCTTCCCTGCGGAATTCCATGAGCTCGGACTGGTTCAAGAAGCACACGACTCTTGAAATAACGACCTGCGCGTCGCTGTTACATTCTGTTCGTTATTTTTGCGTTTTTGTTACTCTTATTCTCGACCGTTTCTAGCGAGAGAACTGGCCACCCTTGTCTGGTTGCTTTATCGAGAAGAGTTTCTTAATAACACGTATTTATTGGAGGGACTTCGCAGCACCGCGGAGATCTTAGCAAACCGAAAACCGGTCCGCGCCTCTTCTCTCGATACCAGAAACCGGAAGCTAGCCCCGAAAGTGCACGATACGTACGACGACACTATCCCTTAATCCTTACTAAGCCGCCCTGGTCAGTGGACCCTACAGCCTGAGGCCAGGGCTCGACACTTCCAGATCCCGCTGTAGATAAACATCGGCGAACGCCCAAGAGACCTTAGGCCATCTCGCGATGTCGATGACCTCTCCCAAGACGAACTCTTGGGGGACATCGGCGCGAAGAGAAAATGACGTCGCCAAATGACGCGCGCCCTTCTCGATGCTCTTGACTGACGTAGGCGTGGTGTGGGTATGCGCTCGCAGAGAAAACTTGTTTTGGGGCTGGGCGTCCAACTTGGTGATTACATTATGCGATTCGAGGGGGTGTCAGTGTCAGCCGTCTCTCTGGCACTTTTTTTTTTTTTTTTTCGTGTTTTGCCGTTTTTGTGGCACTTTTTTTTTATGTTGTTTTTTAACCGGGGAGGATATACTGTAATGCCCAAGCCAAACTAAAGCGACAAACAAACAAACAAAAAAAAAAGCGCGACAACCGACGAGTTTCCTTCAAACGTGCAGCATGCACGCGATAGTACCTTAAATTTGGAATTTCTCGGTGCTCGTGAAGTGAGTACGAGTGATTGAAAGTCTGCCAAAGATAAATTCGCGTGCATGCTGTGTGTTTGTCGGTGTCGGTTGTTTCTGTTGGTCGTTCCAGTGGGACTCGGGCAGTAGGGTCTCAACCATCTCTACTATAAAACCCATGGCCTAGGGGCAACACCTTGCGAAAGGGGCACCCTAAGTAGCAGACGTAAAATTAGTCATAAACAAAAATTAAGAAACATAAATTTATTTTAGTGAAAAACCCGAGGCTGCGGTTAATGACAGAGGACGACAAGGAAGAGAAGGAGAACGCTTGAGACGTTCTCCTTCTCTTCCTTGTCGTCCTCTGTCATTACCGCAGTCTCGGGTTTTTCACTAAAATGTTTAATATACACCAGCTCACCTGCGCCCTTACGTTCTGCTCATAAATTTATGCTTGTGTCTTTGCCCCCCCCCCCCCCCCCCCCCTTTCCCGGGGCACCTCCCTCTCTCTCTTTCTCTTTCTGTGAAGCAGAAAGGAAAACGAGTGAAGTTTACCATGTTAGAGACCACATGCCCTAGTTTCATGAATAGTCTCATATCGTAACGTCGTATGGTAGATATATAGTTTAGTTCAGTATACATGTCAAGAGGCCTGCAGGACAGTACACGTTGTCATATGCAGAATACTTCTGCGATAAAACAGCGTCGTTCCCTAAAAATGCACAGTAAATGCCACAATTAACGTAACCGAGTGAATAAAATAAAATAAAAAAAATGTGTCATCCCGTAAAAAAAAAACAAAAAAACATCAGATTGTATGTTTGTTGCAACCGTGTCGTTGGACACCTGGAACGAATAGACGCTTTGCACACGAGCCGGATTCCAGCCGCCATTGCTGACTTTCTCTGGTCTGCCTTACCCAGATGCCGAGCCACGGTGAAGTGGGCGTTGACGAGCCTCCACAAAGGCCAATGCTGGGGAGAAGGACACACTAGAATCTAAACTGGCAATAACCTGCCCTACTGTTGTGACGAAGCGAAGTAGACCTAATAAGAGGAGACAAAAATTGAAGGTCGGTTATGGCGGCGCCCATGTACACGGGTAGACATTTGCACCGTGCGCAACTTGGTGTACAAACAATCCCGTACGTCTTGCTGATTTTTGTTTTGTCTTTTTTACTGGTTAAAAACAAAAATTACCTACTTTCTGTTGCGGGCCAAGCCCCCGTTCAAACGCCGAAAGCTGCCGGCGCTCGGCGTTTTAACAGTGAGTAGCGACAAAGGCCGCTAAATTAGTGAGTAGTAGCAGCGTTTGAACATCGAGCAGAGACAAGGGCTGCTGGCCTTTGCCGTCTGCCCTGAAATCATTCCAATCAGAACTCGGTAAAATAGGAAGTCGCGCGCTTCTCGACCAGATATAATGTATGTCCTCCTCCTCTGCCTTCATGGTGTCTGTCATCATGTCCACAGCGAACGCCGTGTCTTTTGTATATGACGTGCGAGCAGTGTGAGACCGGCTTGAGGGATGTCGCTGGAGGAGCAGCAGGGGAGGGCGCCCCTGGTGCGCTCCCACTACTCCATGGACTCGGGCCACGAGAGCAGCTACGGCTCCGTGAGGACTGTCGACTCGGAGGCCGCCCGTGAGGCCTGGGCCCGCCACCCGTACTACAGCAGCCAGGAGGAGGCCCGGAGGGCCGCCCAGCCGACCTCGTCCGCCCACAGGGTCGAAGCCAAGGGCTCGCGCTCGTCCAAGACGCACAAGAAGCATCGCAAGAGCAGCAAGCAAGGCTCGGTAAGAATCTTCTTTAGATAAAAAAAAACTTTGTTTTTTCGGGAAGTCTAAATGCGCTTTAAAAACACGTAGCGAGAGGCGTGAGCGCATGCGCGTGAACTCCCGGCTGCTCCCAGCTGAGCGGGGAGGGCCGCCATTTTTATTCATTCGCCCGGTGAAATGCATAGGATCGACATCCAAATTTCAGTTCTTTCTTTTTATTTGGCAGGCACTGTCAAGAAAATTATATAGTGTTATTCCTCGGTGGCTTAAATAGTTAACGAATGAAGTTTCTCCGCGTTTGAAAGCAGACTTTTATTCAGGCGAAAAAGAAGTCGGCCCGTAGCAGACGACGCGTGGCCTCAACAGTGCTCTGCGCCGACAGCGTGTTGCGTCAAAATGGCGGTCGTCTCCTCTTTGCTTCCTTCTTCCTCTCTCGCTCCTTCAGCGCTCTCATCCTTTTCCTTCACTTTTCTCCTCTTCAGCGCCTTCGTCGCCACACCCCCTGGCTGCAGACTCTGCCAATATACTGCTCTGGGGGTTGTTTGTGAATAGCGTCTCCTGTCGCCATTATGCTACCTGACGTCACGATGACAAGTGAAACTATGAGGTGGCACCGGGTCACCTCACGTGGCGTCACAGTGTCCCGTGCTACACCACGACGGCACATGACACTGTGACGCCATAATGCCACGTGATGTAACGTGAAAAAGAAACCGATGATCCGAGTGTTTTCTCTCTTGGGGCTCGTGAGCTGTTCCAGCACCACGGTCAGACAACAACTGTTGTGAACACTGTGACGTCACCATCGTGGCTACTACATACGAGCACGGACAAGGAAACGCTAAGAGGTCGCCTTATAAATAGGGTTCCATATGTTTTCTGCGTTCATTTTTTCTGCCGGATTCGGGGTGTTTTTCCCCCACAGATTCGGTGTTGTTTTATGTAAATTTGTTATGTAACTTAAACAATTTACACAAAAACACGGCATCTGTAAAATATTACACCCCCCCCCCCCCCTTGAAAAAATAAAAAAAAACAATCCAGAATTCGGAAAAAAAAAATATATATATATATAAACTTTGAAAACAATTAACTCTACCTATATAAATGCTATGCATTGAAAAATCCCGGCGTTTTAATTGGACTCAGTCTAGGGGGGTTAGCGCAATGAGCGATCGTTAGAATTAAAAAATGCGACTTCCCGAGTTCTAAACACGGAGTCGGGAAGTTCAAGCGATATCATTCTTTCTCTGTTAATTGCGTACTGTCTGAAAGTGTTGCTGGGGTGCAGAAAAGCGCCTCCTGCGATATGTCAGATAGCACTTCAAAATCGAACGGGCAACAATATATATTCCAAGCATCGACGTGGCCCTTTGCTCCATCCTAGAGTGAGAAAAAGCATAACTACGATCAGAAGCGGTGCGTGCAACCATTACAAAATAGCAGACGGCAAGTTGGCAACACAGGCCGCAACGTCCAGCCGCACGCACCAGTTTTGCGTAGTAATCTTTTTAACCCTCGTCTTTTTTTGTCTTTTTTTTTTTTTTCATCGGGAGTGTGCGTGTAGTACACAGGAAGACGTATACAAATATATAAAAAAATGAAAACAATAACTGGGTTTCGCATTTTCCTTTCGATTAAACGACGACGGCGACGTTCTGCGAAAGCGAGCGGTGCATGTGGCCTCCCTCCTCAGGCGGAAACGATCGGCCATTGCGTGCCAATTGTTATTGCCTGGCACGAATAACGAAAGAGCCGTTGATGAATGGGACAGGTCGATAAGGGCAGAGGAGAACTGAAGAGAACGACCGAAGTAACATACATTTGAGAAAAAAAAATAGTCGTTACAGAACATTAAACGGCTCTTCCGTCGCCATTTTGTTTCCTTGGTTTTTCATCGGCTGCCTTCATTGCAATGTGACGCTTGGCGATTCGCGAAAGCGGAAGGGGATTTCTTTGTGTGAGATCATCCCAACGTTCAAGATGTAATCAGATTTCTTTTCTTTTTTTTTTATGGTTGTGGTTATTGAAAATTGCATAATAAAATAGAAGAGATGGTCGTTCATCCCTTATACGCCTGCTTGCAGTTTGCCGGCTGCGCAGCGAATGCCTTTAAAAAAAAGTGGTATAATTAAAAAAAAATGATTTAGTGTGGTAAAATATTGGTTCTTTGGACTTACTATGGTTTACTATGCCGCCTGATGCCTTACCAACAATAGTCTTTCTCTTTTTTGTATCTATATAGTTCTGCTGACCTGCCTGTTCTCAAGCACCTGGTGTGCATGCCTGCACTATATATGCCTCTATGTATGCTGTATATGTGACTGTAGGGTCTACTATATTTCGCTCTAATATGGACGAATCCAGGCGGTCCTAAAACAAGCTAACGTTTTTGTTGTTCCCTAGCACAATCTTAGAACTATATACGTTGCGTTCTCTGTGTCATCGGATACTCAAGGCGGCACCATTGTGGAAATAGTATGTCTGCAAAACATTGCGACAGTCGTCTGTTAGTATTCAACTTCCAAGACTTGTTCAAGGGCCACATACTTTTTGTATTTCTTAGTTTATTTCTATACGTGAGCACAAAGTTCTCAAGTACGAAAAAAAGGAGGTAGTCAAGAAGTCTCCCGGACGCCTATGTGGTTTAGGTTAGGGTTAAGGTCACCCAAGCCCATCGTTGCCTACGCCCAACGGAAAAATGACAAAAATTTTGTTGAAACAAGCCACTCTTGGGATTAGATTTCATTGACTGCTGAGTCTTGAGTATAAATACTCAGAAGAAACGCCGTCAGTAGCTGGTTTTTGGTATTAAAGGGATACTACAACGTAATTTCGGCGCTCATTTTTTGGTCTATATCTGTTCAAAAGAGCAGTATCACATGGAACATACCAATATCTTGTTAAAAAAAGTCTCGAAAAGGAATTTTAAAACGAATTAAACGATTAGCAAAGAGCACCTGGTGGATGTCGCTAACGCCTCGTTTGTAATGCTCGTCTAGGAACCTTGACAGCTAGTGACGGAGGTTGTCTCGTCTCCGGCCACGACGAGAGAAGGGGGGAAGGAGGAACTCCCCTCTTCCCGAGAATCCCTTTTGTGTGTCGCAGAAGTCGCTATTGTCCCTCTAGAAGATTATAGAAGATTAACCCGTCACTCAAAATTCGTACAAAAGCAGCCGCTTCGGTGGCTGGAACAACTAGGCCATACTCTCGACGTCAGCCTCGCCGTAGCTTTGCTCGTCTTGAGACGACCTACGTCACGATTGCGTTGAATGTCACCTGGTCTCAGCTGGACCTTCTCCGAGCGCTTGCCAGAGTGGGCCGTTTATAACGAAAAATACAGCCACCAGGATCAAAATACAAACGTGCGATTGTCATTTACGGGTATTGTGGATCATATTCAACCTATTTTTGAACTGGACGGGAATATTTCAAATTTCGTTGAAGTATCCCTTTAAGACGAGGCCTTTTCTCCACCAGACTGGCAGTAAGGGCGCAGCCAGGGCAGCGGCTGTGGGAGACGGCGCGTCCTCCATCCCGGACAAGACCACACTGAAGCACCAGATCGACCAGAACCGCGACGCCATGATGATGAAGCAGAAGCAACTCCAGAAGAAGCAGCAGGAATACGCCCGCTACCGCGCTCTCAGTGCCGCGGGACCACCGTAAGTTCAAAAAATTAGTTTCATGTTCCAACTTTTTTTTTTTAAACTCGTATTTTGTCTAGTGGTAAAAGGGTCTGATACGTATACCGTATCAGACCCATTTACCTCTAAACAAAAGTCCTGCCACGTACCAGACCATATCGGTGTCCGTTTTGCTCGCTTTCCAAAGGAACGAACACGGATTTGGTCAACGACACATGGAAGACAACGCCTATACGCATGACAACGTCGTTGTGAGACGCTAGTCTGTGTATTCGTAGAACAAAGTCTACTCTTATAAACTAGAAAGTTATAACGAGCAAAACGATCAACTGAATCGAGCCAAAAAATCTCATTTCTCTTCTTTACTAACAAGGAACCCTTGATCTGAAACGTGGTTCCTGCAGGGGCTCTAAGCTGAACACTCGGTGAGATTTATTCCGACCGTCGCGACTAGCCAGCGTCACGGTCAAGCGCGGCGCTCAGCCAATCGCAGCGGTCAGAAACTTTCTCTCCGAGTGTCCAGCTTATGGAGCCCTAGGATAACGCCTGCGATAATTGCGCAGATCTTACGCGGCCATGATAGTCGTCTGCATCTGGATCACCCTGGTGGCTGGCTTCTCCATCCTGGCGTTCGGCTGGCTGTTCAGCGTGTTCGTCCAGGCCACACCGTTCTTCTATGTCTCCCTGGGCACGGGCTCGAGCCTCGTGCTCCTCGGGGCCTTCCTCACAATCTTCCGTAGCAAGCCTGCCAGCTCCGCCTTCGGCTTTTAAGCACGTCGACGCCGAGAGAACGGACGAACGAGCCTGTGCGCTACCATGGACCCGTTTCCCTGATACCCCAGTCCCACTATAAAGCAGCAAACAATACAATCAGCACCGACAGGTCTCAAGCACGTGCAGCGTGCACCTGAAGGCACCCAATTGGTACGTTCGGGATCATCCGCGCTTACTTCACGAGCACCAAGCGACTGCAAGCCTACTAATGGTACCTTCGCGTGCATGCGGCACCTGTTTGAGGCCTGTTGGTGTCGGCTGTTTTAGCTTGTCGCTTTAGTGAGACCCGGGCATAAGAGCTCCCTTCACACCAGTCCACAAAGAGAGCGCCGAACGCCGAACGCTGAACGTTGAAACGGTGAATTGGGCACCCGGATATGACGGTTCAGCCGCTTCCGGTCGTTTTTCGACCCCGTCAAAACGGCTAAGGTTTCTAGACGCCCGAGGAGTTCGAAGACCTGCACTCATGACGTGGGCCAACGGAAGGGCTCAAATGTTTCCGAAACTTCACATCCTGTCGCCAAATTCGCCGCGCAACGTTTAGCGCGTCTCGTTAGGCTTGGTAGGCTTATCTCCTTAGGCCTATCTCCCTAGTCAGTGAGGCCTATCCACTTGGGCCTTACCTGTTCTACTCTTTTTTTTTTTTTTTTTTCCCTGGGTCCCCAGCAAGTGAAGCGGGGCTGTGGGACGCTGCAAGTGCTTCGTGTGCCGTTTTGGCTGATCCAGCGACCTCGGCTACCGCAATTCCTGGTGAATTGGTGTCTTTTTTTTTTTTTTTTTTCTCGGCGTGTATTAAAAATAATAATAAAAAAGTACGAGTTGGTGACCTCCTGACATGAGAAAACGTTTTTGTTTGTTCTTTTTTACGAAAAGGAATACAATTTTTTTTCTGAAGCAAGCTTTATTTATTTTAGGTGGGACATGCATGCTAGAAAGGAAGCTGCGTGTCTCCAGATTTTGTCCTTTGTACACCAGACTTTACAGAAAAAATCAACAAAATACTTCCGATCATGGCCTCGACACAAAATGAAAGTACCATCCTTAGGGGTCCGCGACCTGGGCAATCGCGCAGGGCGCCATCAAATTTGTTTTAGCTTTCTTCATTTCTTTGAGATCGCCGGGTCCTCGGCTGACAATACGCTCATGATGTACCACTACTCACATGTTTACTAACAACGAAATGTCGTGCCTAGTAGATATGGGCGTATAAAAAGGAAAGGTATAATGTCGCCTTGAAGAATTCTAAACGAGAGCACTAGGCTTCATTATCAATCAAAACAGACTTAAAATTTCCGGATGGCAAATCTTGTCTCGTCAGTGGGCGAGACGCCCGGTATCACCACGTGACGTGGTGAATGTCTCCCTGCACAATACTATAGACGCTTTGCAGCAGCTGTGCATGGACGCCGCCATAACTGACCTTCAGTTTTTGTTTCCTCTTATTTTGTTTATTTCACTTCATCATTACCATAGCAGGCCAGGTTATTGCCATATTAGATTCAACTGTGTCCTTTTCTAAAGCATCGGCCTTTGTAGAGGATCGTCAACTACCGTTTCAGTTGCTCGGCATCTCAGTAAGACAAGAGAAGGTCAGCAATGGCGGCTGTAATTTGGCGCGTGTGTAAAGCGTCTATAACTTCACTAGTTTCTCTTTTTTTTTTTTTTTTTTTTTTTTTTTTTTTTTTTTTCGCGCGAATCTGAAACTGTAAGCGGGTAACCGCTGTACGCGCATTTTCCCGCGACATTGCAAAAACAACGCTACTACCGTCCGAGCATTACCGTACACTAACGAAACCTTGCGATCTGTAGACAACGTTTCAAACATAAAAATTGTGAAAACCAGCCGAAAAGGGGCGTATCGGTATGTTGGTATCGGCAACACCGCCGCGTCATCCATATGCAAATATAAAGGCAGCCGGAAGCAGACGACACTCCTCCGCGCAAGAGGAAATCGGAGACTCTCACATTCGTTCTTTTACGTCTATTCGTTCATGCTTGTCTGCGTGCGTGATGTATATTCTGCTTGGCGTCTCCTAAGATATTCAAACCCCTCAACTTCCAAAAGTTTTAAGAAGAAAAATCAAATGGCAGCGAACCGAAGTTGTAGACCTGCCTGCTGTCTCTGTCCCTCCCACGGGGAACTAGCCGTAGGACGGGAATCCGGTGGGCTGACCGCTTTCACGCCGTTCCCAAACGGCGGGAGCTATCTGGAATCAGTTTCACCCCTAAAGCGAACCACAACGGAGGCTGCGAGCCGTCCCAGCCAATCCAGTCCTAAGGCTGTGTTACGTGACCTTCCGGTCGGTCACGTGGTACCGCTCGGAGCGCTGGATTGGCCGACAAGGACGTTAACGGGTGTGCCCATGATAACGGGCGGTAGCTTGCGTCACCTAGCCTGAAAACTACATAAACAAACATTGGCTGGGATGTCTGGCAGCTTCCCCTGCGGTCCATCTCAAGAGGAGACAGAGTAAGCTGCGGCGGCGGATCTCGGCTTTCAGGGCGATTTTCAACGGTCTTCTGCGCCTCCGAGACGAGGCGTTGTGAGGTTCTGGAGCAAGGCATACCGTCCACGCTTTCCGGCAGGCGAGATGCAGAGGCAGGCAGGCAGACAAGTTGTTGCATAAAAAGAAGGCAGACAGCCTCCTCGTTCCTTCTCCCACACTTCTCTCTCTAAAACAGTTCAGTCTGCTCGTGTTTTTGTCTTCCCTCCCCCCGCTTTTTTTTTTAAATATTTACGAGCGCCATTTTTGTTTCTTTGTTTCTTTCCACCGGCGAAACGGACCTACCTACCTAAGCGCGTCACGATCTTCAAGGAGAGACTCCCTTGCGCGAACGACCCTCACAAACGGTACCCTCATTTTTTCCTCTTTTTTTATTTCTATTTTATTGTTTTAGTTTGTTCTTTTGGGAGATTTGTTTACGTGTTCAGTGGAGTATGTTCTCGGCCTCTGCGGGCGCTCAAGGTAGCAGTTGTTCGTCTGCGTTGCAGAGGAACGATGTCTGGAACATTTCGGGCAGCTGGCCAAAGATTGACGCGTGCGCCGATACGAGCCTACGACGTCATTCTTGTGCAGTGGCATAAGGGCAGTGACTACATTGGGATTGGAAACACTGACGGCGACGTCATTATTGTACAGTGACGTGGGCAGTGACTACATAAGGTAACGCTCGCTCTGACGTCCTTCTCTGCGGTCCATCGAGCAATGCACGCAGCCTGTCTGGTCAATGCCCATGGGCAGTTGCGGAACTCTGCTCAGATGCTACCTGGTGTTGGGTAAAGTACACCGAAAAAGTATTTGAAGTAAAGTACAAAGTAAATTAGAGGTTATGTACTTCAAGTACATCGCATACTTTTGAACACCATGTAAAAGGAGGAGAGGGAAGCTACTTTTGTAAGTATTTTGAGTGACAAGTTAATCTTCTATAATCTTCTGGGAGGAGAACAGCGACGTCTGTGCTTATCCGGGAGGCACAAAGGAGGATCCTGATAACAGGGGAGCTCCTTCTTCCCCTTTTCTTTGGAGGGCATCGGAAATGACGTTATGTGCAAGTGCATCGAGCGCAATGAACTTGAAGAAAAGTACTATATATAACATATACAACGTACCTTCAAAGTAATTTTTAACAATTTTTCACTCGCCTACTCAATGTTTTTTCTTTTTTTTAAGATGCATTGTTACGGGGGATACATCAGCTATTTTCAGAAATGGCGGTGAATATTGCCTAAAGTCAAGTTGCAGAGTATTTGTTTCTCAGAAGGCAGTTATTTGTATTGGTCTCATAGCCGGCCCTTGCTTCACTCAGGAAAACGACCAGATGACGTCTTGAAAGACGGATAGCGAGTTTTCGCATGATGATACGCCACTTTTTGTTAGAGTTTGGTGAACCCTTACACTTGACCTGTCAAGGACGCGAGCGCGTGGTCCTTGAAAGAGCTTAATATCACCGAGCCAAATTTGGGGAATGTACTCTGAAGTCGGGAGTTCTACTTTCCCCGGAAAGTGCCAGAAAAAAAAAAAACTTTTCAGTAAAGTACAAGTACATATACTAAGAGAATGTACTTCAAGTACCACTTTTCTAAGCCAACCTGAAGTACTTTAAAGGAGCTGTGCAACGATATTCAATTGGAATGTTTTTCTCTCTACACTAGCTTACTGGCACACCTCGGACTCAAGGATACTCACACGCAACACCATTGTCCAAGAAACTCCTTTGTTGTGGTGTAATTTCAAGGACAAAAGCGATCATTTTCATTCAATCTCTCCTTTGCAAAATTTGATGACGTAACTCGGGGATCGCAGTACACCCAAGTGACGATATTTGAATGCGGTTCACAGATTGGACCCGAGCATTGCGTGGGCACTCGACTTGGGCTCGTGACAATTGCTAGCTCGAGAAGCATTCGGGTTGTGACCCGTGTCCAATCGCTGCAACGACGACAACAGCCGAGCCATAACAATGTCTGGAACTCAGCGCGTGTCCTGCGCTTTGCCAACCCCTGCGCGTGGCTATGATCAACACTGGCGGCATATAATCGGCTCCAGATCACGTGGCCGCTTGTTCTGGCTGCGAGTTGAGGGGGTGAACGCTGCTCGTTTTTCTTAAATTTTTTTCTGGGACTTCTATTGCGTGGGGTGAAAAACGAACGTGTGTTTCATAGGTCATTAACGTTAGGGATCCGATTTAAGCGGTATTTGTGCACAGTACAAAAATTGTTGCATAGCTCCTTTAAAGGGGTACGGAAGCGAAATGACGTGACTGCAAGCTCTCTCTCTACCTCTCGCTTTAAAATCGGCTTCAGTACCCTTGGCCGTGCAGAAGCCATTGACGTCACGAGCGCAATACGCATTGCACTTGTGACGTCAGTGGCTCCTGCATGGCCAAGGGTACTGCAGTTGCGAGCGTTCCCGCTTGGTGGCGCAACGCATGACAATCTCGCCTAGTAGTGAGGACTATACCGTAGCGTCATTCGCGGTCATGCCGTTATTTTATGTGCCACGAGCGTTTGGTTCGCCGTGTTAGGGAACCAGTAAATAGAAATAACCGTCAGTACACAGCAATGGCGACTCCTGCAAGCTATGTACTGGGTGCCATATTTGAGCGCTTTGTTCGTTT